CCATCATACTCAATTCATTCAATCAAATTCAACTGAACACACTTTTAGTAAGCACCTATTATTTGCAAGATGGGCAGCTAAGTGGCACAGTGGATAGAGTGCTGGTCCTAGAATCAGGAAGACCTGAGTTCAAATCTGTCCTCCAACACTTAATAGCTGTGTGACCCTGGGCAAGTCACTTAACCTTGTCTGCCTCAGTTTTCTCATCTGAGCTGGAGAAGGAAATGGCAAACCACTCCAGTGTCTTTGCCAAGAAAAACCCCAAATGGGACCAAGGAGAGTCAGACATGACTGAAAATAACTAAACAACAACATTATGTGTAAGACAAAATGGTAGGAACTGAGACTACAAAGCCCAAGATGAGACCACTCCACGTTCCACTGGAGGGAAATAAGATATGTAAATTCAGGCCCTGCCTGAGACTTTGTTCAGCCCTCTAATTTTCTCCCTCCCTCTCCCTTTATTTATCAAGTCCCAGAAAGTAAAGTAATTTTGCTTGAGATCACCCACATAGCAAGTGTCAGAGCTGGAGTTTGAACCCAGGGGCTCTGACTCCAAAATACAACCTTCTTTTCATTGTAATGAACGGCTGCTCAGCAAATGGACCTATGGAAGGTCATGCAGAAATCTTGGGCTGTTAACTCGTCCAGTCCCTTCATTGTTTGTGGAATATGGTCTAGAGGACTGATCTTGGACTCAGGAAACCCTGGATTCAAATCTCATCTCACTGTTTAGCTGTGTGACTCTTGGCAGGTCACTTAACTTCTTTGTGCCTCAGTTTCCATATCTGTAAAATGAGAGTTGGACTTGATGGGCTCTGTGCTCCTTTCTAGCTGTGAATCCTGTGAAACTTAGGACTTTCCCAAGGTTAGATCATTTGTTTTCATTTTGTTTTTTTTTTTAAATGGAGCCAAGACTAGAAGCCAGGTTTCATGATTTCCAGTTACCATGCTTTACATGGTATTTAATGTTTAATGTCGACTTGTATTTAGTCATTTTTTTTCTTTGTCCTTATGTTTAAAATGGATAAACTCTTTTCATTTGTTTCCATTAAGCTTAGTTATTGTTTAATCATGTCCAGTTCTTCATGATTCCATTTGGAGTTTACTTGGCAGAGATACTGGAGTGGTTTGCCATTTCCTTCTCCAGCTCATTTGACAGATGAGGAAACTGAGGCAAATAGGATTAAGTGACTTTCCCAGGGTCACACAGCTAGTAAAATCTGTCTGAGGCCAGATTTGAACTCAGCTTCTCTTGATTCCAGGGCTGGCATGCTATCTACTTCATCACCCAGCTGCTCCTCTTTAACATGTAGGATCCTGGTCCACATCCTCTCAAAACAATATCTCATGAGCCTCCAGAGATGATGGCTTTTTATCCAGTCTACCTGAAGACAAAATTAGTTCAAAGCAAAGGTATTTAGTGAAATAACCTGGTAAGATTTGGGGTAGAACATTTCTTCAGTCTTCCTGCCTGAAATCCCTCCCTGCTCCCGAGCATCTTCCACTCAGCTGTCAGTCATCTTCCAAAATCACTTGTTACCCTCCCTTCCCCCTCTGTTTAATAAACTTCAGTGGCTCCCTACCAGGGAGCAAATAGAAATTCCTATTTGGCATTCAAAGTCCTTCATAACCTGACCTCTCCTTCCCTTTCTAGTCTTACACTTTACCACCCCTACCTCTCTTCCCCCTACTGTGTGATGCAGCAACACTGTCCTCTGTGGATCCTGGAGATCTTCCATCTCCAGGCACTTTCACCAGCTGTCCCCCTACCTGGAACTCTTTTCCTCGTCTTTCTCCCCTCCCTTCCCCCTCGCTTCCTTCAGGTCCCAGCTAAAGTTTTGCCTTCTATAAGAAGCCTTCCCTTATCCTCCACTTAATTCTAGTGCCTTCCCTCTATTGATTATCTCCAATTTATCTTGTCTATATCTTGTTTGTACCTGGGACTATCTTTTGCCTTTTTTAGTATCCTCAGCACTTAGCCCAGTACCTGGTACATAGTACCTGCTTAAGAGCCATGATACTGTTTTCATCCATGCTTTATTGACTGAGAATGCCCCAGGCTAAGATGTAGGGTTTTTTTCCCCCTTTTTCAATTACTATGGTATGGTCTGGACTAGAGATCGAAGCCTTCTGCTATAGAGGAAAACTCAGAGTTTACCACCCACTCAGCCCACATTCCTGTTTTTGTTATGCAAATCTATCAACAGCAAAGCCTGATTACTGGTGGTGTTCTGTTTTGGCCAGCAAATAATCTCCTTTTCCTAGCATTTGTAAATGGGGGACCCCTCAGGTTCTCTAGTTCTAAATCTGTGAGCCTGTGATCCCAAGGCTAAAGGGTTCAAGCTTTCGATTGGCACATTCTGTCAATTACAAGGAGGCACTGGGGGTACTGGGACCTTCTTTTCACTGCTTCCTTATCAGTCTTATAGGGGCCTTCTCCAGTCATCCTTTTCTATATCTTACCCAATGGACTCAGATGGTTCTGGAAGAGAAAGTGAGGCTGGTGACTTTTTGCACAGCCCTCCCTCACTTAAATCCAATTCACTCTGTTGTAGACTTATGACCTTATTATCCTACAGTCTTATGAAAGAGGGTTGGCAGCTCTTTGGACCCAGAGGGTGCACAGTTTATACTTCTCTTACCCACACATACCATGTTTCTCCACTATTTATAAGCAAAAAAACTGCAAGACATATGATGGCTTTTATAAACGTTTTTTATGGCTAGTAGAGAAGGCCAGTAAAATAACTTGCAAACTTAGCTCCAAGTTGAAGTGAAGGAGAGAACATCAAAGGGGCTCTGCTCACCGAGGGGTGGCAAGGCACTGTCCCAAGCTTCAGGCTTTTTCAAGCTGCTGTTTTCTGACCTAGTTCTGGGCTAGGGTGGGGTGGGAGATGCTCTGTAAGTTTTCTGTGTTTCCAAAGTGGTGTGGTCTGGGGAGAGGTGTGGGCACTTCTCTCCTGGTCTACACTCTGGTCTTTACCTAAGAGGACCTTTGCTCTCCTGCAGTCATAAGTACTAGTGCTCCTCTTGGCCTTGGAACTGTATCAGGAGCCTTGCTCCCTTGTAGCTGACCATAGACGCTCTTCTCCACCATGGAACTGCAAACCAGAACTGTATATGGGCAATAGAGTTGCTAATCAACACCAGCTGCACCCAGTGCCAGCAAAAGATCCCCTGTAATCTCCTTCTGACCAGTTGTCCAACTCCCTTACCATCTCTAAGCTGAGAGCTCCCAAAGCTGTGGCTGTGGCTGCTGTTATGCAGCTGAGTGCGTGTGCTCTGGACAGGCCTCCACCTCAGTGTCACAGTCTTCCCCTGATGACCTCCCAAGTTTTCTTAGGCTGCAAAATGTCACCTTGACCTTTTGTTGGACCTGCCACTTCAAAATTTGATTTGAGGTGTTATTTTAAAATTGTTTAGAGGGGAATGTTGAGAGAGTTCTGTTGGCTTGCTGCCTCTAATCTGCCATCTTGGCTCTGCTCCCCCACCCCAAACCCTTTTTATCACATCATATTTATCTTTGCAGTTGCTATTGGGGTTTGGACCATTTAATTCTTTGACTAAGGTGAGAGTAAATGCTGAGATAACTGCTTAAAGCTTGTTCTGAGAACTGAAAACATTGTGATATTAGAGGAAATAGACATTTCTGAAATGACATGAATTATCCATCTAGGGCCAAGTTTCAATTCATATTACATTGGAAAACTCTGGGGGGGTGGTTCCTGCCAAAGGCAGCATTCAGTATGTTGCCATAGGAAGGCCTTCAGGCAGATAGATATATGTCTTTATTTCAAAGGACCTCCATGAGTTCTTCCCTTCCAATTGATTTATTTCAGTTAGGAGTTTTCTTAGCATCTTTGCCTTGTGAAAAGATTACAATAATGACTGGAGTGTAATGGAGTAGAACTTAATCTATAGTTAAAGTGTTCATCTGTCTTGATATTGATGAATAATAAATGCTACAGAAAAGGAAATGAGTATTATTAAGGGAAGTTGTATGTGTGTGGGGGGGGGGGGAAGGCAAGAGTATTGGAAGAGACTTTAATGCAGCAGTCCCTTTCCATTAATTCAGTTTGGCTCAATAACATTTTTCTAAATTGATTCTACTAGAGCTCTGTGTTTGGGATACAAAGACCAAAGCAAAAACTTTTCCTGCCCTTGCCATTCCTTGACATCTCACCTATAAAGTAGGGTCAAGAATTTGTGGAATTTGTGGAATGTGAAATGTGACTTTTACAGATACTTGTGTAGATGAGAATTAACTTTTATTTTTAATAAGAAATGAGATCAAAGGAAACAGAGAGCAGAATGGATTAGAAACCAGAATCCAATAATATGTTGTGTACAAGAGACACATTTGAAACAGAAAGACAGTTAAAGGGCTAGAATGGAGTCTAGTATGCTTCAGCTGGAGTTAAAAAAAAAGCAGGGATAGCAATCATGATCTCAGAGAAAACAAAAGTAAAAAGAGACCTAATTAAATGAGATAATCAGGGAAACTACCACACAGATAGGGAATGTGATTTACAGACGTTAAATGATTTGCCATGCTTACACAGCTAATACGTGCCATAGATGTGATTTGAACCCAAATGTCTTCACCACATTCAGCACTTTCCAATATACTACAGGGGTAAATCTTAGGTGACTGATATGAGGAACAAGCCAAGACAATCTCAGCCACTGCTATTTGTAGCACCAATGTTGGAGTGAAGCCAGTCTCCTTTTTTAAATCCTCTCTTGGCCCTTGAAGTGTATACTTTTCTGGATGGAAAGATTTTGTACTTTGGACCCTTGAGTACATGGAAACTGACAAGGAATTATGTTGGAGTCTTTCCTACTTAATGTGGGGAAGGTCTTCTTAAATCCAAACAACAATTCTTAGTTAAATCGGTTCATTTAATAATTCAGTGATTGTTGAAATTGCATCTTTACTTAACTCATAATACTGACAGAGTGAAAGTAATTTCACAGCACGAGTTCCCAGGTAGGAAGGTGTCTTCAGTTTATACCAGTTCTCAATGCTGGGAAAGTTCATACATATCTCAAATTTGCTCAGCAAACGTCGAATCCTTATGATGAATGCAAGCAGAAAAAGGTCCTCATCAAGGAAATATTTGAACTTGGGCACCTCTTCATATACCTGCACATTTTTAGGGGAAAAAAGACAGTGAATGGTTGGCCAGTGACTGGTGTTGAAAAGAGATGAACACCTGTCATTATGACTGAATCATGGAGATGATTTAGGACAGAATTCTTCACTCTGTGAAGGCCTACTGCCATTGTCTAGGAATAAGGGTAGTACCAAATCAAATGAGATAATATTTATAAAAAAAATAGTACTTAGCACAGTGCCTGGCTCATAGTAGGCTCTGCTTCTTCCCTTCCCCTTCCCCACCAACATTCTCCTCTGTGCTTGAAATAAGAGGAACTTAGGTAGAGAGTCCACAAAGAAAACAATTATATTGGGGGTTATGATAGTAAACACAATTTCAGGAGTATAGGTTACAAATTCTCAATAACAGCAGAAAAAAAGTTTTTTCCTCTACCACTAAAATGAATGTATATTCCTTTCTTTTTATGAGCTTTAAAAAAAAATAAGAAGTTTATGTTTTATGAAGAATGCATCTGGCAGTATTACAAATACTAGGAAATACATATGCAATCATATACACATGTACATTTTGGTTTAGATGAGTGATTTTAATTGCTTTGGAGAACTACCACTAAGTTCTGCCTTTGTAGATCTGCAATTGTCCTGCATTTTATTATGACCTCGGAGCATTACTTGAGGCATTAAGAGATGAAGGGAGCTGTCCAGGGTCATGCAACCAGTCTGTGTCGGGGCAGGTCCTGACTTTCCTAGCTCTCAGGTCAACTATTAGCTCCTTATGCCATGCTGATTTCCTCGCACAAATTGGGCAATTTTTTTTTTAGCACCTGTAGAAAGAAATCTGATGGACTAGTAAGAATTGCGTTAAAGATGAGGAAACCAAAGTCTGGGTCACATAACATTTTTTTTTCTCAAATTAGGGGCAAGGATGAGACTAAAGATTAAGTTTCCTGATTTTTATTTTGGTATTTTATTCACTTGTTTTTGTTCAGTCATTTTAGTTGTGTGTGAATCTTCATGACCTCATTTGGGGTTTTCTAGGCAGAAATACTGGAGTGCTGTGCCATTCCTTTCTCCAGCTCATTTTACAGATGAGGAAACTGAGGCAGACAAGGTTAAGTGACTTGCCCGGGGTCACACAGCTATTAAGTGTCTGAGGACAGATTTGAACTCAGGTCTTCCTGATTCTAGGACCAGCACTCTATTTACTGCACCACCTAGTTGTCCCTTCCATCCACTTATCTCATGCTAATAATAATAACAACAAAAATAATAATATAAAAAATTAAAGCTAGTCTGTGCATTTTGAACTAAAGCACCCTGGCTGCCTCAGACAAGTATCTTATTTTTCTTCAGACGTGACCTGTGTTATTGCCTTGGTCCTCCCCTTCACTCAAATATGAAGCCAATGTGAGTATTATATACCAGGAAAGGAGACTTTAAGCCTTGTGCTTTAGAGGGCCAAAGATTAAGATTTCGCTGTGACCGGTTGCGAGCAGCAGGTATGCCAATTGGATTTACTGAAAGGCATTTTGAGAAAACTAAACTCTGAAATAATTACAAAGCTGCTTTAGTACAATATGATTTTTTTTTTTTAGGAATTGGGGTCAAGCAACTTGCCCAGGGTCACACAGCTAGTGTCAAGTATTTGGTCTAACACCAGATTTGAACTCAGGTCCTCCTGACTTCATGGCCAATGCTCTATCCATTGCACCATCTAGCTGCCTCACAATATGAAATTCTTGCTATGGGTTCTTTCCTTGAATTCTAAAATTGTGAGTCAAGTGATAAACTACATATAGTCAAATGATGAATTCAATTCAAAAAGCATTTATTTACAGGTACTAGACACTGAGCATACAAATGCAAAAATTCAAAAGCTCTCAACCTGGAGAAGTTCATATTCCAATGGCCGTACCATGAACATAGATAAAATACAAAACATGTTTAAAGTGAATACAGTTGGTGGAACAGTGAACTGATCCAGCCATTTTGGAGAGCAATGTGGAATTATGGCCCAAAAGTTATAAAACTATATACTGTTTGTGACATTCTTTTTTTTTTCCTCCCTTGCTTTTTACTAGGCAATCAGGGTTAAGTGACTTGCCCAGGGTTACACAGCTAGTAAGTGTCATGTGTTGTGTGTCTGAGACCAGATTTGAACTCAGGTCCTCCTGACTCCAAAGCTAGAGCTCTATCCACTGCACCAACTAACTAGTTGCCCCTTGTATAGACTCTATAACCCAGACACTGGGTTTTTTTTATTATTATATTATTATATTATATTGGCTCTCTAAAGCACAAGGCTTAGAGTCTCCTTTCCTGGTATATAATACTCACATTGGCTTCACATTTGAGTGAAGGGGAGGACCAAGGCAATAACACAGGTCACGTCTGAAGGAAAATAAGATGCTTGTCTGAGGCAGCCAGGGTGCTTTAGTTCAAAATACACAGACTAGCTTTAATTTTTTATATTATTATTTTGTTGTTATTATTATTAGCATGAGGTGAGTGGATGGAAGGGACAACTAGGTGGTGCAGTAAATAGAGTGCTGGTCCTAGAATCAGGAAGACCTGAGTTCAAATCTGTCCTCAGACACTATTAGGTCTCTTTTACAAGGTGATAAGGGAAAGAGAATATATATGTTCTAAAATGTATTTATAGCAGCTCTCTGTGGTGACAAAGAACTGGAAATTGTGAGGTGCCCATCAATTGAGGAATGGCTAAATGAGTTGTGATATATGGTTGTGATGGAATGCTACTGTGCTATAAGAAATGATGAGGGGGCTGCTAGGTGGTGCAGTGGATAGAGCACTGGCCCTGGATTCAGGAAGACTTGAGTTCAAATACGGCCTCAGACACATAACACTCACTAGCTGTGTGACTCTGGGAGTCACTTAACCCCATTGCCTAGCCAAAAAAACCCCCCCAAAAACAAACAAACAAAAAAAGAAATGATGAGGTGGTTCATTTTAGAAAAACATAAAAAGACTTGTATGAAAAAATGAAAAGTGAAATGAGCAGAACCAAGAGAACATTGTATACAGTAACAGCAATGTTGTTTGAAGACCAGCTCTGACTGGCGAAGTTATTTTGGTGTTACGAATACTCAAATCAACCGCAAATCATCTAAGAAGGTAGATGCTATCCACCTCCAGAGAAAGAACTGACTAATAGAAGTATGCATAGTATAGTTTTACACACACACACACACACACACGTGTGTGTGTGTGTGTGTGTGTGTGTGAAATGGTGGCCTTCTGTAGTGTGGGGTGGAGAGGGAGAGGGAGAGAGAAAAAAATAAAAATAAAATGTGCACAGCAAGGAACAAAAGAAAACTCAGAAGGAAGTATAGAAAAGCAAGGTAGTTTTGAAAACAATATTTAGTGTTTATTCCAGAGTTGTTTTTTTTTAAAATGAATCTTCACTTCATGGTTTCATATTAAATCCTCTTTTTGTGTTCTGCTGTCAACATGGAAATACTTTTCTTCTTTTGTATTTAAGTTCAAAATGAATAAAAAATTTAAAAATAAAGTAAATAAAAAGTCATTCCGAGGTGGGGAAGAGCCTGTTGTTCAGTCATGTCGTTTTCAGTCATGTCTGACTCTTCGTGACCCCGTCTGGGATTTTCATGGCAAAGATACTGCAGTGGTTTGCCGTTTCCTTCTCCAGCTTATTTTATAGATGAGGAAACTGAGGCAGACAGGGCTAAGTGAATTAGTGTCTGAGGCCAGATTTGAACTCCTGAAGATGAGTCTTCCTGACTCCAGGCTAGGCACTCTATCCATTGGGCCACCTAGTACTGCCAACCAAAAGCTTCTCGTAGATGGTGTTACCTGAGCTGAGCTCTGAAGGAGGCTAGGGACTCTGAGAAGGAGGCAGAGGTGAGGAAGGGGAGCATTCTTGGCATAGGGGTGGAGCAGCCAGGGAACAAAGACATGGACCTGGGAGATGGAAAGTTGTGTATGAGAATCAGGCAGTGGGATGTAGAATGTATAATTATGGAGTTGTAACATGAAAGAAACTGACAATGCTGAGCTGAGGGCAGATTATGAAGGCTAAACTGAAATAATTCTACTGAATCAGAGAAGTGAGAGGGAGCCATTGAAGGTTCTTGAGGCTAGGAGTGACACGGTCAGATCATCTGTGCTTTAGGGTAAGAAATTTTGCAGCCATGTGGAGGTTGGGTTGGATTAATCAGCAATGCCATCCTCTAGATAAATGATAACAAAATCTTTCCCAAGAGCTCTAGAGAAATATTCCCCTTCATGTACCGGATGGTCTAGCCCGGAGGTGGGGAGCCTGCAGCCTTGAGGCCACATGTGGTCCTCTAGGTCCTCAAGCATGGCCCTTTTACTGAATCCAAATAAAAGATTTGTTCTGTAAAACTTGGACTCAGTCAAAAGGCCACAACCAAGGACCTAGAAGGCTAGTTGTGGCCCTGAGGCTGCAGGTTCCCCAGCCCTGGTCTAGCCCAAGGGTCACCAAACTATGGCTCAAGGGTCAAATCCAGCTCTTCCCTTGTTTTTGTACAGCCTACAAGCTAAGAATGTTTTATATATTTTTAAATACAATAAAACTTTATTTTAAAATGGGAAAACCATTCTTAGCTGGCCAGGGCATAGTTTCCCCATCCAGCCATGTCAACTTCTACATGAAGCTTTTTCTGATTTATCCAGTCGCTGGTGCCTTGTGTCCCCACATTACCTTGTCTCTTCTTTTGTATGTATCTCTAAAGGTATATGTTGTCTCCCCTAAAAGAATGTAAAGACCTTGAGTCAGAGATTGTTTTACTTTTGACTTTGTGTCCCCAATAATTGCCTTGCATAATGCCTGGAATCTAGTAGGTGCCTTGTAAATGTTTGTTGATTAATTGACTGACTTTCAAAAATATACTAACCTTCAGCTTGGTTCCCACATTCATTCTTGCCTGTTGCCCCAGTGCTAGAAAAGAGACAACAACCTTGTCTTGGTCTAATATCCGGATGCCCACATAATTGTTTAAAGACAGAAATATTGGTTTAAATGAAACCAAGGGCAATGAAGTCATGGTACTGGACCACTTCCAAGTCCTCACTCGGTTGCCTTCTTGGTCTGAAAATTGCCCTCCCAAGAGGTTGATGTTAATCCTAAAAGAAAAAAAAGCAAGAAAAAAATATAAGCATTTGTAAAGGTCAGCCCCTCAAAGTTCTGGAGGACTTTAAGATTTCCACAGTCCTTGCTTCTGAGAGACCTTGTGGTTAAGGTGGTGCAATTAACATTCTGCCCATTTTACAGATGGGGAAGCTTCAAGGGATTAAGTAAATTTCTCATGGTTACACTGCTATTAGGCATTGGAGTTGGCACTCACACTCAGGTCTCATGATTCAAGGTTTAGTATTCTTTCTAATTAGTTATGTGATGCTGCCTCTACTTCCCCAAAGTGAAGGACAATTTATGCCAACCAATGGTGCAAGACAATTGCATCTTAGAAGCACCTCTTCTCTCCAGAAGCTTAAATACCTTTGGATTAGAATCTAATTTTTGCTCTATAATTCTGAATGAAATAGGGTTTTTTTTGTGGGGTTTTTTTGGGGTTTGTTTTGCTTTTTGGTGAGGCAATCAGGGTTAAGTGACTTGCCCAGGGTCACACAGCTAGTAAGTGTCAAGCGTCTGAGGCTGGATTTGAACTCAGGTCCTCATGACTCCAAGGCCAGAGCTCTACCCACTGCACCACCTAGCTGCCCCATGAAATAGTTTTGAACTACCAGAAATGTCCCTCAATGTGATGGATCAGTAGACAAATTCACATGGAAGCAGGGAGAACTCAAAAAACATACCAAATGTTTCCATTGGGATAGTAGCAAGTAATTTTTCCACAGGAATCAAGTATTGCCCTAATTGCCGGTTTATTTGTTGTGTCTTCTTGGATCACACAAATTAAACCATTTATCCTGTTGGTCACAACGATGGCTGCTAAATTTCCTGAAGGGTAGCTGGGATCAGATAAGGACAATCGAGTCATTGAAAGATTGACCATCTTTTTCCCCAATTGTCCCAATTCCATTCAGCTCAACAAACATTTATTACCAGCAGAACAGTCTGCTAGACTGCTGGGGGAGACCACAAGCAAGATTTGGTCCCTGCCTTCATGGAGCTTACAAGTTGGAAAGGGGTTGACATATATAGAAAGCACTAACACAGAAAATGGAACAGGCAACATGCCTAAGAAAGATGTCAACAACAGGGGCAGCTCGGTGGTGCAGTGGATAGAGCACTGGCCCTGAAGTCAGGAGGGCCTGAGTTCAAATTTGGCCTCAGACCAAACACTTTACACTTATTAGCTGCGTGACCCTGGGCAAGTCACTTAACCCCAATTGCCTTAAAAAAAATGTCAACAAAGGGCTATTTGAGGTCTGAGGAAGGAAAGATCATTTCCTACTGTGGAAGGCTATCTTGAAGAGGTGGGTCTTGAAGGGTGGATAGGATTTCAACAGACAAAGATAGGAAGACATAAGGAATAGTGGAGACAAAGGGTTAGAAACCTGAGGGTGGGCAAGTAGTCCAATCTGACCATCGCACAGGGAATGTGGAGGGCAGGTTAGCACCAGATGGTGAAGGGCTTTGGGTAACAGTCTAACGCATATGAACTTTGTTTGCAAAACAATAGAGAACAACCGAATAACTTTGTATGGAAGATTCATCTGGGAGTCAGGGTATGAAGACCCATTGGGAGGCCATTGTGAGAGTCCAGGTAGGCAGTAGTAAGGATCTGGAATAGGATGGTGACAGTGAGAATAGAAAGGATAGATGGATGAGAGAGGGTTGGTGGAGGGCTTATCCTTGATAAGGATCTGAGGATTTAGGGAATAAGACTTGGAGCTGAAGGGATCTTAGAGGTCATGTTGTTCAGCTCCCCCATTTTCCAACCTGGGGCCCTGAAAAGACTTGCTGAAGGGCAGAAGTAGTGAGTGGGAGAGTTAGAATTTGAACCTGCCTTCAAGTCAAACGCTTTTTCTGCTATTCTGTGCTATGCTTAGACATCAAAGTTAAGGCATCTGTGATTTCATTCCTGGGGGGAATTCCTCCCTTCTACCGGTGGGGAACATAGCCATCTATAATTAAGGAGAGAAGTCTTAGAAGATTACTCAAAGCTCCAAGAGGTTAAGTGAATTGCCTACGTCCACATAGGTAGTAAGTGTCAGGGGTGGGACTTAAACCCAAGTCTTCCTGACTACATGGTCAGTACTCTGTCCATTTTAGCAAGTGGCTGCTTTCCATTATCCTTGGAGTCACCAAAATGTTGCCTAGCCCATTCCTCCCCAAGTTGCCTCCAGACTACCTTTGTGTCCTCCCATCCAACCTCCACTGCTTCCTTCTATGCATTATCTTGACTTCTTAGAATGTAAGCTCCCTGAGGGCAGGCAGTATTTTACTTTCTGGAACTCTGGACCCAGAGTCAAGAAGACTGAAGTTCAAATATCACTTCACATCCTTACTAGGTCTGTGACTCTAAGCACATCACTTAACCTCAGTTTCTTCATCTGTAAAATGGGGATAATAATAATACCTACCTCCCAAGGACGTTGTGAAGATAAAATGAAATAATATTTGTAAAGTGCTTTGAAAACCTCAAAGCACTATAGAAATGCTATTTGTTTATTATTTTATAACCTTTCCAGTCTTTTTAAAAAAATTCTTTACCTTCCTCCATGTTCTTCACACACAGCACTCCACCTCCTGATTCTGTGAATTTGTACAGCTGTCCTCTCTGCTAGGAGAAGTCTCCACCTCTTAGTTCCCCTGGCTTCCTTTGAGGTTCAGCTTATAGCCTGCCTTTTATGGGAGGCCTTTCCTGATCCCCTATTGCTAGTGTCTTCATCTCTATCTATACCCACACATTATATATGTATCTGTTATTTCTATGTACACATGTATGTATAAATATACACATGTATATACACGTCTGTATAGGTGTACACATATATACCTGTGTATCTACATGTATGTATATGTATACACATACACACATACATTCATATACATATACATATGCATATATATTTACAGAGTTGTTTCCATGTTTTTTCCCTCACTAGAATGTGAGCTTCTCAAGCACAAGGAACAATACTTTTGCTTTTCTTTGCATCCCCAGAGTTTAGTACAGTGCCTGGCACACAGAAAGCACTTAATAAATGCTTGTTGATCAACTAATAGAAGCCCCCAAACTGGTGAGATTACAGGTCTTTTGTAAATGATTCTAGCTGATGATAATGAATTATCTAAGGAGTTTCTCTCAGAGTTGATGTGAACATATCACAGAATTACCTTAAAATCTGATATAGTTTTCAGAAAAGTCAAAAAGAGTTGAAACCAGGACACAGAGTAATAATTAATTATAATACATAATCATATTACATTATGTAATTAAGTATGATTAATAATAATAAGTTTAAAAATCAATTTTTCTGACCATGTCACTGGAGTTGGGCTAAGGTAAAAAAGATCCTTTCAACAACTCTAGAATATATCGTGTCGTAGGAAGAGAATTCACTGAAGGCCTCCATATTTCAGAAAGCTTTTTTTTAATCTCCTCTCTTTCTCCTATGAAGAATGGACTGGCCCATGGTCAGTGGTGATAATCAATTAGCCCTCCCCCCACAGGCATTACAAATGAATGGTGAGGTTAACAATTATATACAACAAAAAGGATACAATATTTGGGCTGTGCCATCTGGAAACATGGTCAGAAACTTTCCTCCGTGTTTGTAGTGTTTTTCCAGGAACTCCTTTTCTATTTTCTGTGCACCAAGGGTAAGGAAAGGACATTTAGCTCTCAATGGCTATGGAGATCACACTTATCAAACAAAGACTACAGATACCAAGGTTTGCCTAATCGTGTCACTAGATGCAAAGTTTCAATTCTTTGTCCCCACCGCTAAAAACAAGTCTTAGAGATAAATGAGTCTATGGACATTAAAAATTCTCCTCCAAATAATATTCATAAATAGCAATTATGAAATCTATTAGGGTCACAGATTGAATTAAAAGGGACCTTCCAGGCCATCTAGTCTAACTCATACTCAAATAAGAATCCCTTCTATGATATAGCCAACTAATGGTCTTCCGGCTTTTACCAAACATCTTCTAGGGAGGAGAAATGCAATAGTTTCCAAGATAACCCCATTCAACTTCTGGATAGTTCTAATTGTTTGGAAGATTTTCCTTAAATGAAGATGAAATCTGCCTACTTTCCACCCACTGTTCCTGAGGCCAACCTTAATGGATCTGCCTAATCAGTCTTCTGCCTGATAGCTCTTCAAGCACTTAAAAACAGCCATTAGCATGATTTTCAAGACTTAAGTTTAAGCTAAGGAAAAATTAGAAAGTGGCTAATAAGAACAAGAGATGCAAACTGGGGAAGCAGAGATTTTTTAACATTTAATTTTTAAAGAAAAATTTGAGTTTCACATTCTTTCCTTCCCACTTGCCCCACTCCCAGCCATTGAGAAGGCAAGCAATATTATGTCAATTATACATGTGAAGTTATACAAAACATTTCCATATTAGCCATGTTGCAAAAAAAAAAAAAACAACCAACAAGAAACGTAAAGAAAACACACACAAAAAATTATACTTCATTCTGCACCTAGAGTTCATCAGATCTTTCTCTGGAGGCAGATAGCATTTTCATCATGGGTCCTTTGGAAGGAAGTAGAGATAACTTTGAGAGGTAATGGCCAGGCCACCATCTTTGTTCGTGAAGAGAAGGAATGCCAGGTTTAAATCTATGTTTACTCAAGAAACTTTAGAAGGTGAAATTTCAAATCTTTCAGAGAAAGGATAAGTAGGCTCCTATGGCTGGAGTGTTTTAATAGAGAACTTAAATATCAATCTATCTCCCCATCTCCACCTACATGACCATCACCCCATTTCTGGCCATCAACTCCTCTAGCCTAGGCTGCTGTGATTAGAATTGCTCTGTTTCCAATCTCTTTCTTACGCAATCTATTCTCCACTATGATGCCAAAATCATCTTCTGGCACAAGTCTGACCTTGTAATTTCCTAGCCAGAAAGTCTACAGTGGTGCCTTACTGCTACTAAGCTGAAATACATCTGCTTAGCATCTCACAGTGTGGCTCCCACCTTCATTTCTATAATTCTATCCATTCCCTTCCCATAATCCATATTTCAGCTATGTTGACTTACTGAGCTTAAAACCTCAGGACCTTTGCATGGACTGTCCCCTATCTCTGGAATATACTTCTTTACCCTCACCTATTTTTACCTTCCATCAAAATTTGAATCTGAGTGCCCCATCTAATGTGAAGTCTTTCTGATTTCCCCCAGCTGTTTGTTCTTGCTCCCTTTTCAAATTAACCTTGTATTTATTGATATCTGTATACATTATGTCCTGTAGTGTGCTAGTAAATGTTTAACAACCAACTTTCTGGAAAAAAATGTACTCAGGACACATTTTTAAGTTTCATCTGCATTATTAACATTCCCTCCTCAATAACTTTCTAAAGTCTATCTAGACAATCAACAAAATAATTAATGAAATCTTGATTTGTAGCTTGCTGATTTCTGAGGTGTAAATGTTCACTCTGAAAATTTAATAATCGGTTTTGGAGAGGGGTATGAGCTGGCTGCAGCACACCCCTTGTCATATGCCCCCAATAAAATGTATGCTCTTCAAAGGCAGGGGCTGTTATATTTTTGTATTATTATCTCCAGAGCACAGTTCAGGGCTGGGGGGTAGAGACAGTGCTTACCTGGAGTTATCTAAATGTGTAATGGACTGCTCTAGGAGGTGGAAGTTTTCCTTTCATTTAAGATTCTCAAGGGAAGAATGAATAATTACTTCTTAAGGATAGCATATCTATTCTCTATACAGTTGCCTTCCTCCCCTCTTTCTACAAAGCACAAGTCTAAACATGACAATTCTCTGCTCAAAAAACTCTTGGCTCTCTACTTTCTATAAATAGCATTTAAGTCCGACATTTTAGGCACTCTAAACTCTGGCTCCCATCTATCTACCTTTCTGGCTTTATTTCATGCTTATTTTATCCCCTTCGTGAACTGTACGTTACAATAAAAATGGTTCACTAACCACCCAAATACAACACCCTATCTCCCACTTACATGAGTTTCCAAAAGTCCAGAATGGGGTCTTTCCTCACCCCCAGCTCTCTGAATCCTTTTCCTTCTAGGTACAACTCAGTGGCCGCCTTTTCCACAAAGCCTTCATTTCCTCACCTCCTACACCTCCAGTTTGTTTTTAATGCTGTCTCCTGCCTCGATTTTTCTTGTGGAAGAATGTAAGGTCCCTGAGGGCAGAAATTATTGTTTTGTCCTCATACTCCAGTGCCTAATATATGGTAGGCACTTAATGTTTTTGTTGTGTCACAGAGGAGATTCTCAGTTTATCAAACTGAACTGAAGTTGGCTCAAAAAGGATGGTAGGCTCAGTAAGGAAAAAGGAGTGATACCAATCACATCATAGTCAATTCCGAGAAATGAGAAAAGAGGGTAGTGTCTAAAGAGACAAACGTAGTTGAAGAGGAAAATTAATTCTACATACAATTCATTGTCAAACTAAGATGTTTTAAAAAGCATCTTACTCTATGCCCAAGCGGCAATCAAACTGTGCATACCCTTTGACCCAGCAATACCAGTTCTAGGTCTGTATCCCAAAGAGACCATAAAAAAGAGAAAGGGACCTATGTGTGCAAAAATATTTATAGCAGATCTTTTCATGCTGGCAAAATATTGGGAATTGAGAAGATGCCCATCAATTGGGGAATGGCTGAACAAGTTGTAGTACATGAGTATAATGGAATACCATTGTGCAATAAGAAATAATGAGTAGGCAGATTTCAGAAAAACCTGGAAAGACTTATATAAATCAATGCAAAGTGAAATGAGCAGAACCAGGAAAACATTATATGTAGCATTAGCAACATTGTGTGATGATCAGCTATGAATGACTTAGTTCTTCTAAGCAACACAATGATCTAAGATGACTACAAAGGACTCATGATGGAAAATGCCATCCACATCCAGAGAAAGAACTGATGGATTCTAAATGTGATCGAAGCATACTTTTTTCACTTAAATTTTTTTTTCATTTTTTTCTTTTGATCTGTTTCTTCTTTCTCAACTGTTACTAATAGGGAAATATGTTTTACATAATTGCACATATATAACCTATATCAAATTGCCTACCATTTTAGGAAGAGGGGAAGGAAGGGAGGGAGGGAGAAAAATTTGAAACTCAGAATCTTGTAAAAATGAATGCTAAAAATTGTCTTGGGATATAATTGGGCAGAACATAAAATACTATTTTAAAAAATAAGAGGCATGTTGCTAAACAGCAGCCTGTCTCCAAAATATCTGGGGTTTTCAGTTTATTAATTCAAGTTCAACATGAGCTATGAAACTATTTAAAAAAAGGCTAAGTTTTGACCATCCCATTTTGGAAGGGACACTGATTAGCTAGAGCATATCTAGAAGACAGTTTCCAAGATGTTCCAAGAAACTATACAATAAGGACAGCCAGATGGTACAGTGGATAGAGCACCGGCCCTGGATTCAGGAAGACTCGATTTCAAATCTGGCCTCAGACACTTGACACTAACTAGCTGTGTGACCCTGGGCAAGTCACTTCACCCCATTGCCTCACAAAAAAAAGGAAGGAAACTATACAATATGGCGATTGCTTGAGAGAATGGAAGATGCTCTATCTTGAAGAAGAGAAGACTATGGGCAGGGGACATGATTACAGTCTTCAAGTGTTTCAAAGGGTGCTTTGTATTAGAGAAGATTGTTCCATTTAGTCCTGGAGGACAGAATTAGGTTTACTAGGTAGAAATTATAGACAGGCAGATTTTAGCTCAACATGAGGGAAAACTTCATAAGAACTTAATGCTATTCAAATGTGGACTGAGTTGCTTGATAAGGCCTTGAGTTCTCTGTCATTGGAAGTCTTCAGAAAGAAAGTAGATGACCACTTATTGGGAGTGTTGTAGACAGGATTGATGATTTAGGTAGCAGCTGGTTGAAATGATCTGGGAAGCCCTTTTCAACTCTGTCTGCAATTCTATGATCATATCACACTGTCTCATTCCTGATAATGTTTATTTTATGTTTTTAAATAAATGCTCAACATGGGTTAGAAAAAGAAAAACCAAGTGAAAAGTAACAGAGAAAAATTACCTTTATGCAAGGTAGTATCCAAATATCACCAGAGTCAATAGAAAATGCAAATTGTTCCTCAAGTGAGTCAACTAACTGCTCTTCACTCGGTATTTTTATTGAGGGGTCCCGGGCTAGTTGGTACGTTATTGTCCTAAGCTGCTTTATATTACCTTAAAAAAGAAGCACATTTGAATTCTTAGAAAAATTCTAACATCAATATGGAACTCAATACTTTCCCAGAAACTCTCATATAATAGAGAAGTTTAATTTGTATTACTACTTTGCAACACTAATTCTTCATATATTTTAATGGGTTTTTTATTGAAGAAAACAAAAAGGAAGAAGGAATGACTTTGAGTATGAGACTGACCTTATCCACAGTCCAATACAGTGGAACCTTCAATTATGTAGATTTTTTTTTCTGGTACTCCATTTTTAGGAGAAAGAGACAAATTGAAAGAAAACAAATTCATGACCATTTCATGGTGACATATCCATTGAATCCAGTCTCTAATATTACACAGTTAGAATGTATATTCCAAAGGTTGGTCCTGAGGGTGTGTAGGGCCCTCAACTAAAAAGGAAAGATTCAACTGTATTAGGGGACTGCCCTTAGCAAATGGCCAAAAACCAATTTAGAAAAGTTTTTCAATTAGAGTTGAAATACAAAAGAGTTTCTAATTAGCCAGAATGTCTAAGTAAACAGAAGGCTCCACTGTTTCAGCATTTCAGTTGGTTGATCTTTTGTTGTCCTTGGAAAGATTTTTGCCCCTAATTGGCTCTGTGCTCTCTTTAACATAGGCACTCCCTGACCCTATCTAGACTTTCTCATCCATGTCCTCCCATAGCTCCTGACCAAAGAAGCTACCCATTATGCTGAAGGCCTTCCTTTAATATGTTTGTATCCTAAAGTTAACAACAAACAGGTTATTATTTAAAATGCTGTCATCAAAGATTTTTAATTTAATTTAATTTTTAATTATCTTGGGGTGCCCATTAGGTAGAATGAACTCACTCTCTTCTTGCTCAGTTGACATGAATGCAAAGGTTCTGGCCATCTGTCTCTCTTGTTGTCTAAAGAAATGAAAACACATGATACCAAGATGCAATTTGTACTTAGGTGATTGTGGATCCAGCAGACTTACCCACTTTTTATACCCTGGTGCAATCTGTTATAACTTTAATTGGATGGGACCAACCAGGAAGTCTTGCTACTTCCTGAACTCCAAGAGAGTAGGGCTTGTCTTATCTATCTTTGTGTTCCCAGGGATACAGAGGTGTGTGTGTGTGTGTGTGTGTGTGTGTCTGTGCATAGAATCATCAATTTAAATCTGGAAGGGACCTAGGGGGCCATTTCTGAGTCCAGCCCCTTCATTTTACAAAGAAGGAAACTCAAGCCCAAGAGAAGAGTGAGTTTCTTCAAGGAAGCTGTATGACTTCCCTAAGGTCAGGTAATACCCAGAATAGCCTGGATTCAAACCCATGTCCTCTGACTTCCCCTCTAGGAAACTGACCCTACAGCCACTAGATGGCCCATCTCTTTCTGGATGAGAAGCTCAGCTGCTAAATGCCATTGGGATCTGAAGAACACAGGGCATCTAGGTGTTGGGAGCTACCACTGGGGCTGATTCACGTTACCTCCGAAGGGACGATTCCTTTGCTTTGACCCTCTCCTGCTCACTGCCAAAGGCTGCATGAGGCTGGATGGAGATTAAATCAGATTCTGGATACATAATTTTGATTAGTTCCCTTTCATGTAGAACATATTCAAACAGCCTCCTGAACTCAAGACAACAGAAGAGCTGGAAAACAAAGTTGTGTTTGTTAATTATCTATGAACTGGACTGAAGGTTGATTGAAAAATTAATGACCATCCATAAAATTACAGTTAAACCTTATAGGCACAGAAAGTTTTGTATGAAGGGTTGCTGATAGAGGGGTGGGGCTCAACTGAGTAAAGCAATCACATTATCCCATCCCACTTAAAGTAAGTTATAAACTGCTCTTCCTGATAAATGTATCAGGTTCTTTCAGCTGGTCACTAGTGAGCATGGATGGCTTGGACACCTCCTTAGACGTCAAAGGGATCCTCTACTAATTGACTGAAGAAGTTAGTCCTGCCTCTGGGGATTTGCATAAAACCAGAGAGCTAATAGGAATCAGAGAGTCAAGCAGCTTGGTACGGAGTTGTTCCAGGCCAAATGATTTCTTTGGGGAGACCAGGAAATGAGCACACCTCGGTCTCTTCCTTAGCCCATTAGCCTGGGGAAGACCTTTTTAGCTCTGAAGGGTCTTAAGGATTTTCGACTTGCCATCAGCATCCTTGCAATATCTCAGGAACAGCGGATGGCAGATCTTTATTGAGAGCCAAAGACACACCAGAAGCTAAAGAAATGTCTTCTTCCAGAAGCTGTGAGTTATCTCTTTGCTACATGTGATCTCTAAACTTCAGCCTGCTTTCCCCTGGATTTTACGTACTTACGGGAGAACGGGTCACAGAGAGAAGCTTTTTGGCAACTATTCCGTTAAGTCTGGCTAACTAAAGGATATGAACCAATAATCATAGGGCACTGGAGGGAGCTTGTGGGCTAACTATGGCATTAGAAAAACAACCCTGAACCTCTCAGGGCTGCCCTTAGAATCCTAAAGAGAAGTATAACATCAACTTTCTGGGGACATGATTTATTGGTGTGAATGGGGATTAGAATAATTTCCTTAGGCCATGTGTTACACTATAACGTTTTGTACATGTTTCCCTAGCAAACCTCTGTTTGGAAGGCTTTTCACACATCTTACATTCTCATAGCTTTCAGCATCAAAGTTGATATTATCCAGGGAAGGAAATGGTCTCAGTTCACATCCACAAAACTCACAACATGCAGAATACTCCATGTCCCACTGTTGGAAGAAATAAAAATAACCAGTGGTTGATAAGTGCAGTAACATACAAGAGGGGTCATAGGATCATTTACCTCAAACTGGAAGAGATATTTGAAGTCATTTATTCCAAGTCTCTCATTGGTCAAATAAGAAAACCGAGGTCTAGAGAGGACAGGGGGATTGCCCAACATCTTCACACAGCAGTCAGTGAAAAAGTCAAGTTTGAACCTGGGTCTGAGTCTGACTCAGCCCAGTACTCTGACCTGGGAAGGGGTCTTAGAGATTATCTAGCTCTATCTTCTTATTTTGCATTTGAGGGAACTGAGACCCAGGGAGTTTCAACAAATTCACCAGACATTTGCTACTTGCCTACTCCGTGCTGGGCACTTTGCTAGGCACTGTGGATAGAAAAGCCAATGGAGCAACAGCCCTGCTCTCTAGGTGCTCGTGTTCTACTGGACACTTGCCCCAGGTCACAGGTTTGGCAGCAAACAGAATTGTACTTTGGCTCTCTGCCTCCAAATTTAGCATTCTTTCCTTGCATAACCTGCTTTCTGGGAAAAGTGCCCAAAGCTGAAGTTCTGTTTCCTCTCTGTGACTATAAAGTCCTCTGGTCGACTTGCTCCTCTTTCACCAGAACCACTAATAGATGCATACATACAAATATATGTATACACACATATACATGTATATGTGTGTGTATATGTACATATATTTACTAATTACTGTGGGTTTTTCCAACACTTTTATAAATAAATATACTCTTAAATTTAATGTTATATATCATACAATATAAAGTAATGTATTATATTGTTGAAAGAAAAATCTTCATTAGGGCTTTACCTAATAAATAAGACAAGCTAAGGAAAATGAGGTAAAAAGGCGTTTATTATCAGAGACGAGGCATGTGATTTGTATGGGCCAAGCTAACATTGTTGTTGTTGTTGTTGTTGTTGTTCAATTGTGTCTGACTCTTTGTGACCCAATTTGGGGTTTTCTTGGCAAAGATACTGGAGTCGTTTGCCATGTCCTTTTCCAGCTCATTTTTACAAATGAGGAAATTGAGGCAAACAGGGCTAAGTGACTTGCCCAGGGTCATAGCTAGTAAGTGTCTGAGAGATAGGATTTGAACTCAGTTCCTCCTAATTCCAGGCCTGGTGTTCTATCTACTGAGATACTTAATTGCCCTTGCTTAACCTTTTAAAGACAAATTTTCCTAACAAGAGAAGCCAATTCTGATAGGTTTACAATTCAAAAGGGGATATATAAGTGTTGAGTTTATAGTCCTGGTAGGATGCTGATTTCTTTTTTTTTTTAATTTATTTTTATCAACAATGACTTCCATAAGCTTTTGAGTTTTAGATTTTTCTTCCCCTCCATCCTCACCTCCCTCCCCAAGATGGCATACAATCTGATAAAGACCATAAATATACATTCCTATTAAACATATTTTCACATTAGTCATGTTGTAAGGAAGAATTAGAACCAGTAGGAGGAACTATCAGAAAGAGGAAACAAAACAGAAGAAAAAAAAGAGCAAATAGTATGTTTCAATCTGAATTCAAGCTCCATAGTTCTTTCTTTGGATGTGGATAGCATTTTCCATCAATGAGACCTTTGGAGATGTCTTAGGTCCTTGAATTGCTGAGAAGGGCTAAGTCTGTCAAAGTTAGTCATCACACAACGTGACTGTTACTGTGTACAACGTTCTCCTGGTTCTGCTCACTTCACTCAGCATCAGTCCATACAAGTCTTTCCAGGTTTTTCTGAATTCTTCCTGCTCATCATTTCTTATAGCACAATAGTATTCCATTACATTCACAACTTGTTCAGCCATTCCATTATCTGATGGGCATCCCCTCAAGTTATGATTCTTTTCCACCACAAAAAGAGCTGCTATATTTTTGTACATGTGGGTCCTTTCCCCATTTTTATAATCTCTTTAGGATACAACCCTAGAAGTGCTATTGCTGGGTCAAAAGGTATGCACATTTTTATAACCTTTTGGGTATAGTTCCAAATTGTTCTCCAAAATAGTTGGATCATTTCACAACTCCACCAACAATGCAATAGTGTTCCAATTTTCCCATATCTTCTCCAACATTTATCATTTTCCTGTTTTGTCATGTTGGCCAATCTGATAGGTGTGATGTGGTACCTCAGAGTTTTTTGATTTACATTTCTCTAATCAATAGTGATTTAGAGCATTTTTTCATATGACTATAGATGGCTTTAATTTCTTCATCTGAGAACTGCCTGTTCATATCCTTTGACCATTTATCAATTGGGGAATGACTTGTATTCTTATAAATTTGATTTAATTCTCTACATATTTTAGAAACGAAGCCCTTATCAGAGACATTGGTTGTAAAAATTCTTTCCCAGCATTCTGCTTCCCTCCTAATGTTGGTTGCATTAGCTTTGTTTGTGCAAAAACTTTTCAATTTAATGTAATCAAAATGATCCATTTTGCATTTCATAATGTCCTCTGTCTCCTGTTTGGTCATAAATTCTTCTGTTCTCCATAAATCTGACCAGGTAAATTATTGCTTGCTCTCCCAGTTTGCTTATAGTATCAGCCTTTATATCTAAATAATGAACGTATTTTGACTTTATTTTGGCATATGGCATGAGATTTGGGTCTATGCCTAGTTTCTGCCATACTCTTTTTCAGTTTTCCCAGCAGTTTTTGTCAAATAGTGAGTTCTTATCCCAGAAGCTGGAGTCTTTGGGTTTATCAAACAGTAAATTACTATGGTCATTGACTACTGTGTCTTGTGTACCTAATCTATCCCACTGATCCACCTCCCTATTTTTTAGCCAGTACCAAGTAGTTTTGATGATTGCTGCTTTACAATACAATGTAAGATCTGGAATGGCTAGGCTACCTTTCCCCGCATTTCTTTTCATTAGTTCCCTTGATATTCTGGGCCTTTTGTTATTCCAAATGAATCTTGTTATTATTTTTTCTAGCTCTACAACATAATTTTTTGATAGTTTGATTGGTATGGCACTGAATAAATACATTAGCTCAGGTAGAATTGTCATTTTTATTATGTTAGCTCAGCCTACCCATGAGCAGCTGATGTTTTTCCAATTATTTAGATCTGACTTTATTCGTGTGAAAAGGGGCTGATTTCTAAAGGGGATCAAAGCACACATGGGCTGCTCTTCCCTACACTTGGTTTGGCACCTTCAGAAGTTCCCCTCATGACAGAGTTGTCATGCAAACCTGTGCAGCCTCCTCCCTGATGAAGGAACGTCATGTGTACCTGTGCAGCCTTCCTTAACAGAAGGCTGTCACATATACTTAATAGAAATCATGCAAGTTCACTTGAGTTAGCTTGTTGTGGCTGAATTCTAGAAAATCATTTAATAATATGATGTTGGTTGCTTGGTTGTTGTCCTTGGTACTCAGAGAAGACCAAAATGCTATCACTATGTCAAGGTCAATGTACAGTATGTCTGACTGTGGCTGATCAGACCAGTATGAGCTCAGAAGGCTCTGCCACCAGGTGGGCACAAATAGTCGGTATGAACATTTGGAATGGAGATGTCTCTAAATTCGTGCATCTCATATTTCTTTTGAGATATTTCTTATTTCTTCATCTCTTCATATTTCGTTTCTACCTCACTTATAGAGCAGAGCACCTTCTCTGATGTGGAGATGCATGTGCCCATGCTGGGCAGTCTTTTGCCAGTGCTGCCCATGTCTCACAATTGATTCCAACTTTCTTCAGGGAGACCTTGAGAATGTCCCTCTATTGCTTCTTCTGACTTTTGAGCACTTGCCTTGTGTGGGTTCTCCATAAAATCGTCTTTTAGGCAAACATATATTTGGCACTTGAACAATGTGGCCAGCCCATCAGTAGAGTTTGAATGCTTAGTAGTTCAGTTTGAGAAATGATCTTGGAGTATGGTCAGAACATGCGGAGATGGGTCTACTCTAGACAAAGTGTGATTACAAAGTCCCAAGTCAGATTTTTAAACAAACATGGAGAAATTCTGGACCTGAACCAGGACCTCTGGACCTTAGGAGCCATTCTTGTCAAATTCGTCACGTCTATAAAATGAAGATAATAATGGCACCTGCTTCACAGGGCTGTTGTAATGGTCAAATGAGGCAACTTTTGTAAGGTCTTTGCAAACCTTGGAGGTAGACTAAATGCTTTTGGTTCTAACTCTTGGGAGATTTCAGTGAAGTTACAAATAAAAATTTGTGAAGATGTAATGCCTATTTTTCCTACTGAGATATCATAGGTATGTGTTTATTTACCAAGCTTTAATGAGAGAAGAGATCTTTGAGAGTATTCTCTGAGAGTGGCATCCAATAATGATTGTGCAAACAATCAAATCCGGGCATGAGTAGTGGCAGTTGGACATTTTACAATGTCAACATCTAAGTTGGCTTTAGGATCATAGAATCAGGCTTTGACTGTCCCTCACCCTTTTCTCTTGGATACTTTCTCCTCTCTAGGTTTTCCTGATACTATCATCTCCTGGTTCTCCTTCTACCTGGCTGACCAATCTTTCTCAGTCTCCTTTGTTGATTCATCCAGATCATGCCTACTAACCTTGGGGTGGTCCCCAAGGCTCTGTCCATGGTCCTCTTCTCTTCTCCCTCTTATACTATTTCAGTTGATGATCTCATCAGCTCCCAAGGATTCAACTTTGTGCTGACAATTCTCAGATCTACTTTTGCAACCCTAACCCTGCTCCTAACCTCCATTTTCATATCTCATGTTGACATCACATTTTCACATAAGTAGTTACCTATGAGGCATCTAAAACTGTATGTCCTGTAGAAACCTTAAACCCAACATGTCTAAAACTAAACTCATTATCTTTCCCTCCTAAACTGTTCTCTTCTAACCTTCCTTATTGCTATTGAAGGTACCACCATCCTTCCATTCACACAGGCTTGCAACCAAGGTATCCTTCTAGACTCCCCATTCTCTCTCAGCTCTCTCAACCATATCCAACCCATTGCCAAGTCCTGTCAATTCTATCTTCATGATATCCCTGGTATATATCCTCTGCTCTCTGATACTGACACCACCCTGGTAGAGGTCCTCATCCTCTCTCACCTGGACTACTGCAATAGCCTTCTGGTTGGTCTTTCTACCTCAGGTCTTCTCTATTCCAGTCCATGCTCCACTCAACTGTCAAAGTGTTCTTCCTAAGGTGCTGTGCTGACCACATCTCCCTCCTACTCAATAAACTCACCTGGCTCTTTATTATCTCTGGGATCAAATATCCTCTTTTAAAGTCCTTTACAACTGACCCCTTTCTTCCTTTCCAGTTGTGAGAGGTAAGAAGTGATTATATTTCCATGTAAGGAAATTGAGAGAAAAAGTAGCTCTATGTCAGAGGTTCTAGAACCAGCTAAAAGTGGATGAAACTGGTTGTTTGGTTAAAGAGGCTGGAAGTAGGACACAGGTTAAGCTTTACTTAGAGTGCACATGCATAATAGGCTCATTAATACTAACTTCTCTGCGCAGAGGGGAGCAATAGCACAGAACTAGGCACATTTCACATGTTATGGGGAGGAGGAACGTGTTATGAAGTGGGAGTTTCAGGAAGATTGTATCCCAGAAGAGCAGGGACCAATCCTGGCCCTGAAAGGAGGGACAAGAAGGAACTAAATGCATAAAAGGCTTGCTCTTGTTCTGTCAGTGTGTGTGTATTTTTGGGGGGGCCTACCCCCCACACACACCTGCTTCTTGCAAGAACCGTAAATAAACATCTCCCTCTCTCATTTCAGTTTAAGTTTTGTTTCTTGAGGAAGGACAGAACTCCATGAGGAGCTCTAGGGGAGCAGTGAGTTGTGGCTGCATGCTTGGGCTAAACCCCTAACCCTACCAAGGAGTGACTGAACCCCGTTTCTCACGCAATCTTCTTACATTTTACTATTTTCCACTTACTCTAGAACCCAGCAACACTGTCCTCCTTGCTATTCTTCCACACTGTGCTCCATCTCCTGCTATGAGCCTTATCACTACCTATCCCCTGTGCCTATGATAATCCCTCTCCTTGTCTCCACCTCTTGGCTTCCCAAGTCTCAGTTACAATCCACTTCCTGAAAGGACCCTCCTCCATTTTTCCTCAATGCTAGTGCCTTCCTTCTGAAATTACCTCTGATTTTCCCTACAAACAGAAGTGTTCTGGTAAATGTTTAACAACTAAAGCCCTGGAAAAAAATGTACACGTGACACAGTTACAAGTATAATAAGTTATATAATAAGCTGATAATGCAGAGTAACATTATTAATATTTTCTCCATTGCTTTCTTAATAGATGAAAGTATGCCCTAGAGAATAAATTAGCACCCTTAAAAATTCCATCCCATTTCCATCCAATTTAATACAATGAATAGTAAGTGCTTAAAGGATGCCTTAGGGCCTTGTGTCTAAAGGCTTGTCTAATTAGGCCCTAGATAAGCAGAGACAGATGCATCCCAACTTTCCAACTCTCTTAGCTTTCTTTCTCTGAAAATTATCCAGTCCTTTTCAATTTCTTTGCTTTGTTAAATTTTCTTTTTGACATATTTGATATCTTGAAAATATTTAAGTGTCTCCCATAAGATATATTTGAATATGAATGTTTTATCCCCTTTCTCCTTCCTTCCTTCCTTCCTTGCTTCCTTCCTTCCATCCTTCCTTCCTTCCTTGCTTCCTTCCTTCCATCCTTCCTTCAATCCTTCCTCCTTCCCTCCCTCCCACCTCATAATATCCAAAGTGTTGACCTCTTATTTTCCAGAATGTTTTCTTTGCCTTTGGCTTTCTAAAGGGTTTATCCATTTTGTTATACAGATTCTATCAGAGGGGTAGCTAGGTAGCACAGTGGATAGAGCACTGGCCCTGAAGTCAGGAGGACCTGAGTTCAAATCCAGCCTCAGACCATCCACTTGAAACTTACTAGCTGTATGACCCTGGGCAAGTCACTTAACCCCAATTGCCTAAAAATGAAAAAAAAAATAGAGAGATTCCATCAGGGATGATGATGATGATGATAATAATAGCTAGTATTTATATATGCAAAGGACATTACAAAAATTATTATCTCATTTGATCCTAATAATAACACTGTGAGGTAGGTGCTACTCTTTTATAGAGGAGGAAACAGTGTGAGAGAGGTTAAGTGATTTGTGCCCAGGATTAAGTACTTAGGTGAAATATCAGAGGCAGGATTTGAACTCAGGTCTTCTTGACTCTAAGGCTCTACCCACTATACCATGTTGCTGCTAAAAGCATGGCCTCCTTGGCATGAAGGAGGTTTTGAAGTTCCAGTGTAAGGTGCCAATGATTTGTCCCTCAAGCACATTTCAAATTAGAATTTTTTTTTCTCCCTACTTTGACTTGATTTCTAGTGAACTCCTATTCTCTTATTTAATAAGCTTGTTTCATAGTAGCTTCTTGGGTTAGTCATGGAGTGTGGTTTTTCTTTTTGGTTGGTTGTAAATCAACAGCGAGTACAATTTTGAACTTCAGAGTCATCCATTTACTTCTTCACTCTCTACCCATATTCTCTACCTCCCCCCAAATGGATCACAGAATTTTAGAATGAGAAGGAACTATAGATATCACTGTGATGTAGCAGATTGAATAATCCATTTAGAAGGCAGCATGGTACAGTGGAAAGTGCCCCCGCTATAGAGTAAAAGAACTTGGGTTCAAATCTAGCCTTTTATCATTACTATCTGTGTGATCTTGGTCAAGATGCCTCTCCCTTTTCTGGGCTTCATTCTCCTTACCTTTAAAATGGAGCAATGGACTAGATAACCTCTGAGGGTCCTTCCAGTTATAGATCTATGTTCTCAGGAGACCTGGCTCTAAAGCTCAATCAGAATCCTAACTAGTACAGGGGCACTAGGGCTGCCATAAGGCAGGGGAGAAGGTGGCAATACTTCCTCTCTTCAATGACTACCATTTCTGTGTCTCACCTCATGGCTCTCTGCTGGCTTATGCCACCATGAAATGCAACCACCAAGGCTGCCACCCCTACGGTCCTGGCACCTCTCTTCCCCCTAACACCTGTTATTGATGAGAACAAACCACCAAGTCCAAAATAGCTTTAGAAAGAAATGCATTAAGTCAAGAGAGAGAGAGAGAGAGAGAGAGAGAGAGAGAGAGAGAGAGAGAAAGAGACAGAGAGAGAGAGAGAGAGAGAGAGAGAGACAGAGACAGAGAGAGAGAGAGAGAGAGAGAGAGAGAGAGAGAGAGAGAGAGAGAGAGAGAGAGAGAGAGAGATGGCTTCCTCTTATCCCTGGAAGATTTGCATTATATAGGAGTTTAACAAGTACACTTTCAGGAAACCAGTAGAACAAACTAAGTAGATGGAGATAGATACTGTAAACATTTAATAAAAATTGAGCAAAAGCCAAAACACGAGGAGAGCCCAAAACACAGGCTTGGGTGGACCCATAAGACTTGAGTGTAGTAACCCAAAATAGAAATATTCTGGGAGGGTCCAGGACCTGAGGGAATCCAAAATTCCTTGTAACCATTTCTGGCATTCCTAAAGAGTAAATGAAATCAAAATCAAGATCAAGACAACATTCTTGGTGCAAACAATCTTTAGTCACACAAAGTTGGATTTAACAGCCTAATAATAAGGTTTCCAGATAATAAAGGATTTCCCCACATACCCAAGAGAAAAAAAGGATGGATTCTCTGGGAGTCAGTCAACAAAAATTTCTTAAGCCCTTATGCAGTAGGTACTGTGCCACCCTTCTTCCTAGCATGCTCGTGATGGGATTATCCTCTGCATAATTGTTGCTGTGGGACCTGAGCTTGTCCCAGGCACAAGAATTCTTGTCCAGGATTCTGGTCCCAATTCTGTGAATTGCTAGCCATGTGAACATGAAAAAATCACTTCTCCCCTTTCAACCTTAGTTTCCTCTTCTGTAAAGTGAGGATGAAAGCACCTACCTTGAAAGGTTACCATAATGATCCAATCAGCTGCAGTTATACTAAAGTACTTTGCTAGTTTAAAGCACTACATAAATGCTGGCTATTATTTCTGGATTTATTTTTCCATCAGAGGGGATGCCTTTTCATTACTCATTTCTGGGGCCACTGCACATATTTGCTAATCCATGGCTTGGCTTCAGTGTGCTCTCTGAGGCCATGGGATGAAATGACATTTGTATTAGTTCATGTGATACCCCAACTTAAGCCATGGAATTCAGCTGCTTATCAAGGTCCTCCTACCAGCTGAGCTAAGTGACCCCATGAAAAAAGCCTACAAATCCATGAAATATCTCCATCAAAGAATTTTTTTAAATGAGCAAAACCTGTAGGTTTCATTCTCCTTTTTTTCTTCCAGATCTAACCATGAAGCTTCCTTATGGAAAGCCACCAGTGCTGTTCTCAAGGTGTAACTTCTCAGCATCAGAGGTCTGGAACTGGCAGGAACTTTGGAAAGGATCTATTCCTCATTGTACAAAGGAAGAAATGGAGGCTCTCAGAACTTGAATGGTTTTCCCACAGTCCTCAAGTTAAGCAAATGGCAAATTTGGGACTAAAAATTGGGTCTCGTGCCACATCGTGGAGCATTCTGTTCTCTTCATCATGATCCCCTTCACCACCCCATTGTACTTGCTAGTTCATTCAGCTCACTAAGGGGCTTGATATTACCTTTGGAGGTTTTAGATGAGAAGGCTCCTTCTTGAAGAAAGGCACCTTCTCAGTCACTTCCAGCCTTGGAGAGGACCCAAGGGCACTGAGAAGTTAAATGATTTGCCCTGGGTCACACAGCCAGGATGTATCAAAGTTTGGAAGAGCCAGCTCAGAGCTAGTCACACTGCCAAGGTTCCTGTCTTGTTACCTTGATATATGTTTCAATATTAAGAAGACATGAACATTACCTCAAGAATTATATCTTGTGGAGCTGGCTCTGGTTTATAGGCTAGAATGGCTGGTGGCCCAACCTTTGGGATCGTTTCCAGAAATGGTTCAAAAAACATTTTGAAGTCTTCTTTAAACTTTAAAAGAAAAAAAAAAGAATGTAAAATACTTTTGGTCTGGGCACAGACGGTGTCCTGAGTTGTATAATTGTGAATTTTTACCTCCATGTCACACAAAATGTCTAAATGCTGCATCCTTTCATGTAGTGCCCATTGTGCTAAGGGGAGGACAATGAGCATTAGTTAATAAGGAAAACATATACCTGTGAAATGTCTATTGTGCTAAGTCATGGGGTCATGCATATAAAACAGGAAGAAACCTCAGGGATCATCTAGTCTGACTGCATCTTACAGATTAGGAAACTGAAGAATGGAGAAGTTAAGTGGCTTGCTCAAAGTCACTGAGGCTGAAGGTAACAGAGATGGAATTAGAAATCCAAGGTTGGCATTTCTTCCATAACATGGCACTGCCTGTCATATTTTCCTTCCCTTTTTAATTTTTTTGGCCGTATCCGAAAGGCCCACATTATGGCCATGCTCTTTATAGTGAACAGGTGGAATTGATGAACAGCTACTTGAGGGTAGAAGAAGAGCCCTTTATAAGGGTGTACCATTCTTTAGAATTTAGACTACAGCCTCAAAAGCTATGAGAGGCGTCATGTAGTGGAGAAAGAGCTTATCTTGTAGCCTTGAAGACTTACATTCAAGGCTTGCCTTTGACATGACCTGACTGTGGGACCCTGGGCAAGTCACAACCTTCTAGAACAGTGTTCCAGGCAACTTGCTAAGATCATAATTTGCAGAGGATGTCCCAACCTATACAGGTAGAGTAGTTTCCTCATCTGGGAGTTCCTTGTACCAAGGAAATCCCAGGTCCAGCCCCATCCTTTTTAAAGCTAAGACTCACATAAGATGTAGGGATAAAGAGAAATGAACTGAATCTTTTCCCAAATGCCATTTTTATTGGACCATCCAAGGGGCAGATAAAGTTTTTTTAATGTCCATTTACCTCGGGTTAACGGGCAATAGGAAGCAGGAGACACATCCCCAGGTTTAAAGGAGCCAAAAGCACCTGGAAGGAAAATGCACAGTTAGTATGTTACTGGGAAAATACAAACCAATCCAACCATAAAATATGGTCATTTCAATGGTGCACTTGCCACTCAATCTCTCACTCTCTTGATGTCCTGTTATACTTGCCTTGCTGACACATGACCCCAGATAAGCCCCACTGTCCATTTTCTCTGATCCTGCTTTCAGACTGCTAAGAGATGTTATGGAACGTCATCTAACTGGACTGCCTGCTTCAGTGACAAGTCTATATGACCTGATCACTGCTGCTCAACAAATCTGTTATTTAGCCAGATTCATCTCCTTGAAGCACAAGCTTAGACTATGTCACTCCTCTACTCCAAATTCTTTCATTTCCCCCACCAAGAAATAAAACCCAAGCTCCTTAGCCTGATATTCCTGAAAGGCCCTCCACCATCTGACCCCAGGCTACCATTCTAAGCTTATCTATCTCTTTTTCATTCCTTAAACCCAAGACCAAAAAGAAAAAAAAAAGGAATTACTCACGGACTACTGCTATTTTTTGTAGTGCACTCTTTAAATTTTTAATCCTTGTCTTTTTCTTGTACTCTGGTATTATTTCCAGAATCTTCTCCTTTTGGGATATATTGTCTTTTGCTGCAACTGTGGCATACAATGAACTAATAAATAATTGACTGGGAACTGAAATTCTGGGTGGTTACCATGGGCATTACAAAAGTGAACCATTATAAGTGAATAGAACAATATTGTTGCACCATAAGAAATAATGAATATGAGAGATTTGGAGATCCAGAGGGAAAAGATGTAAATGAACTGATGCAGTGAAGAAGGCACAACCAGGGGAATCATATACATAAAGATATGAAAGCATATTTAAAACCTCCTTCTTAGTACAATGGAAAATATTAAGAAATAATATTTTCCCCAGCCTCAAGCCCTTTCTGGACTTTTCCTTGTGGGAAATGTATATGAGGGGAATGGGCAAGGAAGGAATTGGCTGGTTGTAGTGGATGCTTAGTGACTATTGTTAGGAATTATTGTTCTAGCAACCAAAATTATATTTTAACATAATGTGACTTTTTTCTTCAAAATTCTTATAAATGCTGCCTCATTTGGGGCAGAGAAATGTCCTAGGGCATAGGGGAATTTCTCTCTCTAAGCTAGAAAGTGTTTGATTTAGATTAATGTTAAATTAATACTGTATTAATAATACTATAAAAATACTAATAAATAAAATTGTCTCTAGCAGACTTGTACCTAACACAGAGTAGAATGTTAATATCTGTTTCCTGGACAATGAATATGAGCGTGTAAATAAAAGGAATATAAAATCAAGCTAAATTCTGAGTAATTATAATGAGCATGATATGTTGAGTTTAAGACATCTACAGGACATCCAATATAAGATGTCTAATGGACAGTTGGAGATTCAAGAGAGGAGGTCAGGAGAGAGGTTAGGGCTTGATAAGTAGGGCTAAGAATCGTCAGCATAGAAATGATGATTGAATGATGGGAGCTGAGTTTAGGGCAGCAAGAGAAGAGAAGAGGCCCAGGACAGGGTTCTGGGGGACACCCAGGATTAGAGGGCATGACCTGGATGAAAATCCAGCAAAGGAAACTAGGAAGAATTGGTTAGATTAGTAGGGGAACAATCACAAGAAAGTGGTGTCAGGAAAGTACACAAAGAAGAGAACGTCAAAGAAGAGGGTGATTGGTAGCGTCAGGGCTGCAGAGAGGCCAAGAAGAATGAGATTGAGAAAAAGCCATTAGAGTTGGCAATTAAGAGATGGTTAGTAAATTTGGAGAGAGTAATTCCAGTTAAATGATGAGGTCAGTGATCAGATGAGAGAGAGTTAAGAAGAGAGTGAGAAGAAAAGAAGTGCAGGCATCTATTGTAGATGGCCTTCTCAGAAGTTTGGCTCCAAAAGGGATGAGAACTATGGAGTGATAGCTAGTGGGGATGGATGGATCAAATGAGATTTTTTGGGAGGATAAAGTAGATATGGGCATTTGAAGTCATTTGAAAAGTAACCAGGAGAGAGGGAGAGATTGAAGATAAATGAGTTATAGAAGCCAGTCCATTGGAGAAGACAGATAGAATGGGATCACTTTGTCATGTAGAGGGGTTTGCTTTGACAATGAGAAAGGGCCAGTTCTTCACATGGGATAGAAGTGAAGGAGGAGATAGTGGCAGAGGACATCTGGATGATGTGAGATGGGGAGGAGGAGAGAGAAGGTGGTTTTGGAGAATGGCCTCAATTTTTTTTAGTGAAATAGGAGGCAAGGTTTTCTGCTGAGAGGGTCAGAGAAGGGGGAATCTTGAGCAGTGTGAGGAGGAATGCAATGATTTTAAAAATCTGATATGGAGAGTGAGGTATTGAGTTGATTAAGGAGGTTTAAAAGGATTGCCTTGCTGTGCAAGTTGAGATTACATAACATAAAGTTGAAATACAGCTAGTCTTCACAGTCTTGATACATATTCCTGTAAAGATGCAATCATTGTGTTCTTTGGTTTTAGCTGTTTTTTCCCCCCTTGTTGCAAGGAGGGGGAGGGTAGAGCTCTTTTGTCTAGAAGAAATCTATCTGAAAATGACTGTGATATAAAAATAAAAGGCATCAAGAAAACTAATTTTTAAAAAAAATAATTAAAAATAAAGAAACCATCAGTAAGACATTAACAAAAAAAGGAAAAAAGGAAGATATAATCAAGTAATTGTAAAAATATAAACTGATCCAGAGAATAGAATATAAAATTGTAATGGAAGCCAAGTAATTGGAACAGCACGTTGCAGTTGGACCTTATGTTATTGAATTAAGTGGAAAATGAGATTAAAATGTAGACCTCTAAGTAAAAGGGTCTTTGTGGTTGCATCCTGCTGTGTGTTACAGTATTGTCAGTCTGGGTCAAGATATCTATGACAACTGCCAAGAAACAAAAGAGTGGACATTGAGGCCAGAAAAATTTACATCCAAAGACTGTATATAAAACATCACACAGACATCTCTAACCAGATATTGGATATAACATTTACAGCTGAACACCAGACAAAGTAAGAATGGGGCATTAATTAGCAGAGAGATTTTCAAAAGAAGGTGTCACGTGTATTGCCTCAGGCCCAGCTGGTAAGAGGAGACCTCTCCCTAGTTTTACTCTGTGTAACACCTTTTTTCACTCAAATCCTGATTCTCACAAATTATTGGGTTCTATATGGGGTTATCTTCCTTCCTTCCTTCCTTCCTTCCTTCCTTCCTTCCTTCCTTCCTTCCTTCCTTCCTTCCTTCCTTCCTTCCTTCCTTCCTTCCTTCCTTCCTTCCTTCCTTCCTTCCTTCCTTCCTTCCTTCCTTCCTTTCTCTCTCTCTCTCTCTCTCTCTCTCTCTCTCTCTCTCTCTCTCTCTCTCTCTTTCTTTCTTTCTGTGAGGCAATAGGGGTTAAATTACATGGGGCAATTTTGAAAATGAAAACCTTCATTGAATGGAACCCCATCCCAGCTCAGTTGAGAACCTCCAAAATCATCTGAACTCAGTTTGTCCCTTAGTAGAAGATGAGATTAAAAAGCATACATTTTTAAAAGGAGGCATTACAAGATTGGAGAAAGGTAACCCTCCTACTTTCAGAAAAGGTGAAGAATATAAATAGAGGCCAGGGGGCTTTATATCTACTCCTGGAAAGATTCCAGAACAGATTATCAAAAGGGAAGTGGTGGTCAATATGAGCCAGCATGACTTCATTATAAACAAATCAGGCCAGATTAAATTAATTTCCTTTTTTTTTTGCACAGAATTTTTTTAAATTGGGCAGAATGAAGAGATGTCATTGATAAAATAATCATTATAATAAAGTGTCCTGTAAATGGTAGTGGCTTCCATATGAGAGAAAAGCCCTTGGAAACAACTGGATCTCAGAAAAGTGAGCTTCTTTTTCAGGGGAAAGCAGACAAATTTCTACACAAGACAAGCTTTCCTCTCCAGGCTGCTTAAGTCAGTTGCTTGCTATTCATGGTGAGGCCTCTTTTCTGCCATCATCCTAGTATTTCCACAGATAGGTTCCAGGCTTTGGGTAGTTAGAGTGGAAAGATAAGACACTTGTTTCAGCTAATTTCCTTTTTTTCTTTCAGGATTACTAAACTACCAAAGTCAGGAAACCTGATAGACATAGCGTGCCTGGCTTTTAGCAAGGCGTTTGGCAAAGTCTTTAGCAATGTTTGTATAGACAAAATGAGGAGATGTGGACCAAATGATAGTTAAGTAGATTTAGAATAGGTTAAATGATGGAACCCAAAGGGTGTTGATTAAGGAAATTAAATTCAACTTGTAGGGAAATCTCTAGTGGAGTATGTAGGCCTCTGTCCTTGGTCCTGTTCTGTTTAACAATTTTTGTTTTTTAGAAAATCGTTACTTCAGTGCCAGTGAAATAAAGCTGGGAGAGATGATTAACCCACCATGTACCAGAATAATGATGCAAAAAGATCTAAAAAGTTTGGAATGATGGGATAAATATGATAAAATGAAATGCACTTATTTCAGTAAAGCAACAATGCACAATTTCATTGATGGAGGTATTTCTGCTATGGATACAGATAGCAGCTCTTCTATGTTTTATTTAGTGCACAGTCTTCACAAATTGCTGGGACCTCCCCCCACAAAAAATTATTGCCAGGTGGGCAAGTCTCTGGCAATAAGCCTGTCCATATTTAACTAGTCTAGTCATAAGGCAACAGCCATACGTACAATCCCTTGTGGAGACAGTAATTGAAGCCTTTCCATTTCAGTGGCACCTGACAAAATTTATTCTCCACTGACATCACCTTTGAAAACCCAGCCACTTGCAGGCTACAACGAAGTCCTGGACTAGGACTTGAAGTAGAGAGTTATTATATGGAATAGGAACACAAAGTTCTACATTTGGTTTCAAAAAATCAGTTGCACACATACAGGGAGGAAGGGAGGGACATGGCCAGAGAATACATAGTAGGTAAAAGACGCAAAAGCTCAGAGATTGCTAAGAAAAAGAAAAAAAGGGGGGAAAAGCTAGTTTCAAATTAAGAAGCATTACCAGAATCTAGGAGTTGTAACAAATATACGAAGGAATTAGATCTGATCAATGGAAAGGGCTGACTTAATAGTCAGAGAGATCCCCATTATCCTGGAGGTGATAAGGAGCCAATGGTGTTTATTGAGTGAGGGTGGGGTGTTATCTGATCAAATTCAAATGTTAGAAAGATCAATGTAACAGCTAAGTGGAAGATGTAAGTGGAAGATGGATTGGAATGGGGAGGGAGAGTCTGGAAGTAGGGAGACCAACCAGTAAACTATTGCAATAGTCTGGGTATGATGAGATGTGGGCCAGCACCAGGATGGTACCTGTGTCAGAGGACAGAAAGGGCATGTGTGTGTGTGTGTGTGTGGTGTGTGTGTGTGTGTGTGTGTGTGAGAGAGAGAGAGAGAGAGAGAGAGAGAGAGAGAGAGAGAGAGAGAGAGAGAGAGGTTATGAAATTAGAATGGCAAGAGATTGGACATGAGGAGGTGTGGTGAGAGAGAATGAAGAGTCAAGGATGACACCTAGGTTGCAACCCTGGTTGACTGGGGGGAGGGTGCTGCCCTCAACAGTAATGGGGAAGTTAGAAAGAAGAGAAGGCTTGGGGGGAAATACAATGAGTTCAGTATCAGACATACTGAGTTTAAGATGTCTCTGGGACATCTAGCTCCAGATGGCCAATAGACTATTGGAGATACAAATCTAGAGGTTAGGAGAGATGTCAGGGGTAGAAGATGTAGATCTGAGAATCATCACATAGAGATAATAATCAGATTCCTGGGAGGTAATGAGATCACCAAACAAAATAGCATAGAGGGAGAAGAGAAAAGGGCCTAAGGAGAGAGCATTTGGGAATACCTAAGATTAGTGAGTGTGACCTGACTAAAGACCCAACAAAGGAGTTTTTCAATTGTAGAATTCTATGATTATATGATTTTGTAGTAAGTGTAGCAATTTCTTTGATAGTGGTAAGGAGAGCAAAGCTTATCTCCACCTTGCCCTTTAAAATTAATTTCAATTGATATTTTTCATTTTTATATCTACCTACATTTTCCAATATATCTTCCTCAGTCCCTCCCAGACAGCTAATCCTTATAATAAATAATAAAAAAAGAGGAGGAAAAATAAGCTAGTCTATCAAAAACCAAAGAATGAATGAAAAAAACTGACACCATATGCAGTGTTCCAGAGTCATAATCCCTCACCTCTACAAAGTAGCAGGGAGAGGTGCCTTTGCATGTCTCTTCTTTGGGGCAAAGCTTGGTTATGATAATTTTTCAGCATTCAGTTATAGTTGTTTTGTTGTTCTTTCCATTTACATTGCTGTAGTATTTATATTAGTTTTTTGGTTCTGCTTACTTCACTTCACATCAGTTCATATAAGTCTTCCCATGCTTCACCATATTCATTATTTCTTGTAACCCAATCATATTCCATTACATTCATATAATACAATGTGCTGTAATATAATACAACCACCATTCTCTAACTGATGGTTATCTACTTTGTTTCCAATTCTTTGATACTATAAAAAGAAGTGTTACTATCTTTTGGTATATGTGAAGGCCTTTCTTTCGTCTTCGACTTCCTTATGACATATGTCTAGCAGTGAAATCTCTAGTTCAAAGGATATGAACTTTTCTGCTACTTTCTTTGTAAAATCCCAAACTGCTTTCCAGAATAGTTGCAGAATAATTCATAGCTCCATCAACAGTGCATCAATGTGCCTATATTTCAATAATCCTCTCCACATTGGGTATTCCCCTCTTTTGTTATCTTTGCCAATTTTCTAGGTGCACAGTGAAAGCTGAAGGTTGTTTAGATATTCACTTCTCTCATTATTAATTACTTAGAACATTCTTTCACATGGTGAATAAGAATTCAGAATTCTTCTGACCGCCCAGCCCTTTTTCAGTCTTTTTAGTTGGTTTGTAGGGCAACCATGGGCATTGGTGGGGGTGGGGATGGGAAGGAATGTGATGACTCTGGTTCCACCCAGCTTGTTTGCAGTTTTCCTAATGGAGTCCCCAGCATGATTTAAAAGGGATATAGCGTCATACCCCAGAGATATGACAGGAGTTAAAAGGAATTTCAGACCATAATTCATATAATGACTTAGAATGAAAGATCATACTCAGAAAGAGAAAAGGAAACCAAAGAGTAGGGTTTCTCTAGCCATGGGATCTTTGTGAAACTGGCTGGGATCTTTATACAAAAGAACTCATTGTTTTGGGGGGGGGGCAGCATTGTCAGATCTCTTTGAAACTGATCATTATATTTTTCTATATTAAGAATAACAAATGCTGCCAATGTGGAAAACTAGGCATGCCATTATACTGATTGTGGAGCCATAATTGATGTCATCTTTCTGGAAAGCAATGAGACCGTACAACAAGGGGATGGCTATAAGTAACAATTTGATTTACTGTTTCACTCATTATCTTGACTTAAGGAAGTGATGGAGACAATGTTAATAATGAAGATTAAACTTAAAACATGTCCCGGGTACTTTTTACTTTTGAGAGCTGGTTGTTCAACATTTCCCAGCACAGACCTCCTAGCTCATTTTGAGAATGAGCAATCTTTCATGTCAGTCTTCTCCTTGTAGAAATCAGCATGCTTTCTTCCTATGACTGATTGCTTCGGAAATAAATAAACCTGGAAGGCATTTCAGATAAATGAAAGCTAAATAATTTTTTTTTTGCAGAACGAAGAACTAGGCATTAATCTTTTTCTGATAGTCTCAGGTCTTCCACTTGACCTTTGATGATTTTAGTTAAAATCCTGTTAGTCTAGAAACAATGTAATAGTAAAAATGCATCACTCAAGCATATAAGGTCTGTCTACTTTGTGTCTATTGTGTTTAGAGACATCACAGGATCACATAGGATGACAGAGCTAGAGCTGGAATGGACCATCACCATATTTTACAAATGAAGAAACTGAGGCCCAGAGAGGTTAAGTGCCTTATCTTTGGTCACAAAGGCAGTAAGCATAAAAAATGGGATTTGAACCCAGGTCCTTTGACTCCCAAACCATTGCCCTTTCCGCTGTACCCTAAGATTGAAAGGATACTGGTGTTTTATCTACTGGTATGAATGAATACTCTAAGAAATCCAGTCACTTACGGCTCATTTTTTTCTCACAGTGGTCCTGAAGCCAACTCATTTCTGTCTGCAATGCTACATCAGTTCCACGTTTTGTTGACATTGGTGTAATGATCTCTTCCCTGAAGTTCAGACAAAAGATTACAATTATGAATATAAGTGAAATGATCTACCCAAGGTCACATAGGCAATTAGCATCAGAGATGAGATTTGAATTCAGATCCTCTGTATCATAGCATCAGAAAGGTTACTGGTATTTCTTCTACTGGTGTGAAAAAACAATCTAAGAGCCATTCCTTGAGAAACTCATGTTTACATAGGAATCATCTAAACAAGAGGATTGTTTAATACCAAAACAGTACTTGTCCGTAGAAATGATAGCATTGATTTTCTGTAAGAAAAAAAAATCGTCTTCTATCCTTACCTCCCTACCATAGTTGAAGTATTCATATACGACGCTTGGTTCTAAATCTGGATTGCTAACTTAAAATAACGGTGATGGCCACCAAAAGAGCTAACATGATGTTAGACTGCCTTAAGACAGGCACAGAGTCCAGGAATAAGGGGGTGCTGTGGTAGCCCCATCAGACCACCCCTGGAGTGCTGTCTTCTGTTTGCAGCGCCCTGTTTGAGGAAAGATATCGCTATGCTGGAAAACATCAAGGAGGTGACCAGGATAGTGAAAAGTCTTAGTTCATGCCATCTGAGGATTGGTTGAAGGAACTGGACGTGTTTATCAATCAATAAGCATACTTTAAGCACCTACTATATTCCAGGTCCTGTATTAGACGCTAGGGATACAAATATCCAGAATGAAACATTCTCTACTCTCAGGCAAAGAAGAGAAGTCTTTAGGGGATATGATAGTTACCTTTAGGCGTTTGAAGAACTAGCTGTAGAGGGAATAGGTATGTTCTGCTTGGCCCCAGAGGGGTGAATTAGGGGCAAGGTATGGAAGCTACAAAGAAGCAGTTTAGGCTTCAAATTCCCAGTAATTAGAGCTATCCAAAAATTGAGTGAGCTGGAGTTAGTGGGTTCCTCCATTCATCAGAGAGGTAACAGAGGAACTTTTTTTAGGTATAGGTTACACTAAATGGTTACTGAGGTCCCTAACAACTATAGAATTCTGTGATCTATATGGGAAAAAATGCATCATATTAGTTTTTCAATGTCAAAAAAAATCATGCTTCATTCTGGGGCCAACATTTTAGGCTGGAAAAATCCAGAGAAAGCAACCATGATGGTGAAGTGTCTTGAGTTTGTGGCATATGCAGGAAGAGAAGATGTTTATCAACAACTCAAAAAACATATACAATATTAACTATCCATGATGTGGCAGGTGTTATTCTAGGCATTAGAGATACAAAAAGGATGAACGGAAGATTCTCTACTTTCCTGCAGAGAAGAAATGGCTTGGGTTATACATCTTTTCATCTAGAAAATGAAGGTGCTGGATTACATGAAGTCTAAGTTTCCTTCTGGCTCTAAATCCTAAGCTATTATTTCCACAAATTAAAAATAAAATAAATTTCAAAAAAAGAAAATGTGAAGAAACAAATAAATAAATGGTTAAATGAAATATTAGAAATCTGAGGTTCAGCATAGAGGTCAATTAACAAATTTAGCATCAAATCCGATTTTTTTTTTGTTCAAACCAACAATTTTTATCTTGCCGTTAACCATCAAGTTGTAAAAATGAAAAAAAAACCCTTTTTTTTTTCTGTATGGTTCTTGAATGATTTGGTAGGTCAAATTCACCAGAGATTGATTCACAGTCTCTTCCTGAAAATGAGCATCCATTGATCACAGATGTTTCCTTGACTCCTTCCACCTCTCGTAGCTTCCTCTTCATAAATGACCACATCCTCATAATTTATGAATGACTGGCTTGACTTCTGTATTTGTATTTCAAATCAATGTTTTCCTTTTCAGGAGCATCTCATGATCTTTATTTCTTCAACTACCTTTCTGGTCTTTCTGCCCTCTACCACTTTTTTTTTTTGTCAAGGCAATCTAGGTTAAGTGACTTGCCCAGGGTCACACAACTAGTATGTGTCAAGTATCTGAGGCCACATTTGAAGTCAGGACCTCCTGACTCCAGGGCTGGTGCTCTATGCACTGCACCACCTAGCTGCTCCCTTCTACCACTTTCTATCCGTTCTCTACCATGTGTTGCAAAAGATTCCCCGTCCCTCCCCAGGAGATTATTTTGTGCAGAAGGACACATACAAGTGGGGAATGACTAGGTAAGGCTCCTTGTCCAAAGGGGACACAGGTCACTTCATAGATCACTTCACTTCCAGAGCCACAATTAGAACTACACAAGGCAGGCAGGTGCTTACGATGCACAATGCCTTGTTAATGCTTAATAAAAATTTGTTGAATTGAGTTGAACATGCAGGGAGATACAACAAGGTAAACATTATTTTTCTGAATATGCATATTTCAATGTCAGAAAATTCTGTTTTCCATGGCACAAGGGCATTTATTTTGTAATTTAATAAGTATGTGGTGGTGGTGAGGTACTATATCATAGTGAGGGCTCAAAGTCTTCAGGGTATTGAAACTTGCCGAAGGCCCCCAGATGCCTTATTCCAGGTATGCTTACTTCCCAGTTAGGGAATTGTTGTTGTTGTGTCTTTTCTTCTCGAAAAGGACCAGTGACATCAGGAGGGTGATGTCTTGACTTGCAAGTGAATCACACTTAAGTGAGGCAGAGCTATGCAAAGTCATCAGCCTCACTCCCTCCTCCAGAGTCATTGGAGTCCAATGGCAAGATTTAGGTCAGGACAACTGGTGATGGCTCAGGATGGAGTGGAAGACCTTGACTTTTTAAAGCTAAGGCCTTTCCCAGATCTCAGTTTGTCTGAGGCACTGCCCATTCAGTAGTTAATGGCTAGGTAAGAATTGAGGCAAAAGATAGACTAGCTTGCCTTCTCAAAAGGATCTATCTGGGAGGGGAAGATCCTCAGCAATCAATAAATTGAAGAGAAAAATGAGCAGCACATACCATGGAGCCATGGTTTGGGCTAGCATATTAGAGGTCAAATAGATGTTAAGGGGAGGCCGTTGGTGCACAGAACCGCCAGGTGCCTTGAGGCCAGCTACCTCATCTTTTGTCACTTTGGGTTGAGGAGCTGGTGCCAAATGTGAGTTCAGACTGGCCCTGGAGACCTGGTGGCTAGGCATGTGCTGACCCACAGCCTGTTTTCATCTTCTCTACTTTCTCCATCATTAGCTCCCAGATGTGTAGACAGAGAAGCTGGAAGGACGCACTGGTCTACTTTTCCCTCTCTCTCCCTTTGATATCCTACCCTTGGTTGTAACAATCCTAGATGGTGAGGTTCTTCCAAGTTGACATCTACTGAATTGAAAATCTCTTCCCCCTGCTCCTTCTTTCCACTCAATCATTGCTGACCATCTTAACCTTCCCCTTCCCCAGATCCTTCTCTGTCCTTCCCTTTCCATATGCCCTCTGAAATCCCCACATTATTTATCCTGAATCATTTCCTCTCCCATATTTTCTATTTTCTGGATCTCAAGGAATCCTTGTTCCCCCCCCCAGAAGATACAGAATTTCTAGCCATCATCTTTCCTGAAGATTGTTCCTTCTTGCTAACCATACTGACACACCAGGCTAGGAGAACGAATGGACATACAGCTTGCTTCCTAATGCCAGAATTACACCTTCCTTCTGCTGCCAGCACCCTGCAACTTCCTCATCTTTGAGGTTCAGAGCATCCCTCTATAGTAGCAGTTCTCAAAGCGTGGTTCAGTGACCCTTGGGAATGTTTGTTCTTGTGGTTTTTTTTGGGGGGGGTCCAACAAGTCAAAACTATTTTCATAATAATACTTAAATATTCTAATTTCTAACATGGTAAACATCAAAAGATCTGACCCACATAAACAAAAGCTCTTTGTGGAGGTCTCTAATAATTTTTAAAAGTGTAAATGGGTTCTGAGAGCCCAAAGATTGAGAATCACTGTTCTGTATCACCCAGCTGTTGCTGTAATACAGCAGCCTTTGACACCTCATCCTCCTCTTTCCTCATCCTCAGTGCCTGACTCAGTCTTTCTCTTTTCCCCATCTCTAAGACTTCATTAGACATGTGGATATCCCCTCAAACATCTTGGCATCTTGATTCACAGATGACCACCTGCCAGAAGCAACCTGTTTCCTTTAAATTGCTATGACTTTACTGCCTAAACTGCTTAGGTGACATTTAGATGCACTTGTGTGTATTATAATCATGTACATATTTGTCTTCTCTACCCCAGCTAGACTATAAGCTATTGGAGGGGCCAAAATATAACTTATTCTTTGGATTTCTTCCCCATAGTGATTCTTACATTGTATATGTTCTGTAAATAATTTACCAAATGAATTTTTAAAATTACAGTTTGTCTTAGTGTACTTACCCACACCCTGCATTTTACTATCTAGCTAAAAATGAAATGAGGACTTATGTTGTTTGTTTTCTTACCCAACTGAATCCTGGAAGGAAGGTGAAGATTCTCTCCTAAATGTACTGAGTGCCCTGGGAATACCGCCATCTGTGGAATGAAATTTACTTTAAATTCTGGAGGGGGGCCCCTCCTCCTCCCCCTTGAAGAAGCATCATCTATCTTTGTAGGACAGGTGCAAGGACAACCACCCATGACTAGGATAGAGTTAGAGAATGAGAAAGCTGGGTCCTAGGCTAAGTACAAGTATGATTTTGTTAAAAAAAAAGTGTTTGGCTACAACACCATTGGTCAGTAGAGCATCTTCATGAGGTCATTCTTTTCCGAATCAAGAAAATGCACTTTTTGGAGGGGGTGGAGGATTTGTACATGAGCCAAACTGAAAGCAAGGGTAATAAAAATATGCTATCTCATATTTGTGTAGTGAGTTACTGGAGAGAGGCAATATGTCATATAGAGTAGAAAAAAAACTCATTGGACTTGTTAATAGAGATAGTGTTTGAATCCTGCCTCCTACCAGCTTCTTACCATCTGAATGACATTAGGAAAGTCACTTAATCTCTCTGGGCCTCAGTTTCCTCACCTATAAAATGGGGATAGTACATACCTTACAGGATTGTTGTGAAGATTAAATGTGATAATATATGTAAAATGTTCAGCAAACCTTAAATCACCTCATCAGGGGTTCTCAACATGGAGTCTATGGGGAGTGGACACATTTCTGGGGGTATATGAACTTGTATGGAAAAAATTACATCCTTATTTTGACTAACTTTTGGTTTTCTTTGAAATCTCTATATGTTTTAATCTATGCTCTTAAAAAGATAATTTTGAGAAGGGGCTTCACGAGATTGCCAAAGGGATCCATGAAACACTAGTTAAGGACCCCTGCTCTAGAAAATGTAAATTATTGTTAGACAGACCCTTTATGGTTTACAAAAGCTTTCATACACATTGTCTTTTCTGACCTCCCCAAAAACTCTGTTGGGGAGGCAGAGAAAGGATTATTGTCCCCATTTTACTGCTGAAGTAGCTGAGGTTCAGAGAGGTTAATGATTGGGAAAAAAAATGAATTGTAAAGCTAACCCCTCTATTGAGTTTGGAAAGATTGTTGTTCACTCATTCAGTTGTATCTGACTCTTCTTGATCCCATTTGGGGTTTTCTTGGCAAAGATACTGCATTGGTTTGCCGTTTCCTACTCCAGCTCGTTTTATTGATGAGGAAACTGAGGCAAACAGCCTTCAAGTGACTTGTCCAGGGTTACATAGCTAGGAAGTGTCTGAAGCCAGACTGAAATTCAGGAAGATGAGTCTTCCTAACTTCTTTGGAAAGACGACAAATATTCAAAATAAGATATTCCCCTCCCCCCACCATGCCACTTGCACTCCCTCAAATTCTCCCCACCCTCCAACTGAGTGGAAGGCTTCTTTTGAACAGTTTCACAGGATGAGAGATTTGGAACTAGAAAGAATCTTAGAGCTCATCTAGTTCAACTCTTATCTCACGTGCAGTGAAAACAATGCTAGAGGAAGGAAGTCATTTGCCCACATTACACAGATAGTAATTGGCCCAGAAATTTCAGGTCTTCTAACTTCAGAACCAGAACACCTTATCATGGGTCCTTCTCTGCTTCCCCTAGGTGGTAAGTGTTTCCCCAAAGACAAACTAGAGAATGACAAACTGCAATATAAATAATAGGAAGAGGCAACAGGTTTGTAGTGGATAGAGTTGGGACTGGGTTCACCTTTGGCCCATGTTAGCTGTGTGACTTTGGTCAAGTGCCCCAGGGCAGCTCTAAGTCTCTACACATCACAGATCAATGCACAGATCTGCATTGGTAGAGAGAGTTCCCTCAGGGAAGTTAGCTGCACAGCTAGGTGTAAAACTAAACAAAAGCAGTAATAGCATCCTGAACTGAAAGGGCAAACTTAGAGATCCCCTAAATCCAATCCCTTGGAAGAACCAGGCCCAGAGAGGGGTGGAGGTTTGCTCAGTCACAGGCCAGTGACAGAAGTCAATCAGAGCCCAGGTCACCAAACTAGCTGCTCTTTCCACACTAAGCGCCTCTGGGCTTAGAAGTCTAAAGGGAGTAGGGGAGGGCGGCGGGGAGAAGGCGGTGCATGGCTGGCGGGAGAGCCGCAGAAGCCCTGCACCCCAGGGGTGGAGACGCGGGTACTTCTCTGTATGGGAGATTTCTCGGACGTCTGACTGGTGTCATGGGCTGTTTGGCTGCCTCGGCTGCTGCTGGGGCTGCTGCTGCTGAAGCTGCTCGCGGGGCTCAGGTTGGTGTCAGAGAGCACCAACGAGCTCTTGTCAGAGCCGGAGTTGGCCATGGTCCGGCAGTGCGGGGCTGGCTCTGGAGGAGCGCGGGGTAGGTGGGTGCTCAGGCACTGGGGCTGCGGGCGGGGCGCGAGCTCCAGGGGCGAGAACACGCAGCGGGGGCTGGGCCCGCCTTGCGAGGAGCGCAGAGCGTCCACGAGTGTTGTGCGTTCCGTGTCCAAGGGCAACTGCCCGGCCGGGAGCAGAGGGAGGGCCTTGTTTGGAACGCTCCCTGGACCGAAAGGGCCTGGCCCCCCTTCTCTGAACTTGACCTTCTACTGGCTCTCTTTGCTCCCCTCCATCTGGGGCTCACGTGCAACCTTCTCGTGCCCTGTGGTAACTGAGGATGCACAGGCCTTTTGGTGAAGCCTTTGGCCCTCCGAACACTCACGTTCCTTTTCCAGCCTTGCTCCTCTAGCCTGCTGGGCCTAGGAGAAAGGAAGACCGAGGGGATGGAGCCAGCTGTGCCAAACAGCTGACAATCAAAGGACCAGGTTAGAGTCCGAGGGACCTTAAGAGATGCTCTAGTCCAGCCCAATGCCTACATTTCTACAAAACACAGCAGAAATAATTTGTCCAAGGTCACACAGCTAGTAAGTGGTAGAGCCAAGTCACTTTAATTGAAATCTAATCCCTTAAAAATTTAGTTTTTTAAAAATTTTTTAAAAGTTAACAAACATCTATGTTCTTTCCCTCCCATCATTCCTTCCCCCCCACTATGTCTTCTCCGACTCCCCTTCCCCAAAGACTTAAGAGACCTTTTTCCATTCACAAGACCCACCAGTCCTTGGGCAGATAAATAAACATCCAGACACCAATATCTACAGAATTAGATGAACAGCCCTGAGAAGGGCTTGGCAAGCCCTCATACCAGATGTGCTAATCCTCCCTGAACACCCCTGTACACATCTTTGGTGATCAGCTTTGACACAGTTCTTACCCTTGGGCTCCAAGAAGCTGTAGCATGCACAGTGGCCACACCCTGGCAAAACCATCGCAACAGATAGGCTAAACCAGGTTGAGGGTAACCCATGGGCCCTAAACCTGTCCATGAGTTAGGGGGATGTGAAGATTTCCTCCAAGTGAGTGAAGACTTCTGGTGGAATGGGTGAATGAGAACAGTTTGTTTCAACGGCCGCTAAGGCAGCTGAAGCAGGCACAATGGAGCACTTAGAACTTGGTCAGGCATCAAAGAGGCCAAGGTCATCTACTGCGTCCTGGGCCATCACCAGTTGTCTTGACTTTTGTCCTCCCACTGGACTTTGATGACTCTGGAAGAGAGAGTGAGGCTGATGACTTTGGGCAGCTCTGCCTTACTTTAATCCAATCCACACTTAAGTCATGACATCACCCTGAGATGTCATTGGCCCTCTTGGAAAATGAAGGACAAGCAAGCATTTATTAAGAGCCCATCGTGTGCCGCACTGTGCTAGGTGCTGAGGATACAAATTTTAAAAAATAAAATAATCCCTACTCTGAAGGAGCTTACATTCTATTGGAGGAGATATTACATACACAAGTGTATATGGAATTAATACCTCCTAAGTTGAAGAATAATAATGATAGCTAGCATTTATATAGTGCTTTAAGGGTTGCAAAACTCTTCATGTATGTTAACTGATTGGATCTTCACAATTATCCTGGAACTTAGGTGCCATTATTACCCTCATTTTACCGATGAGGAAACTGAGGCAGACAGAGGTGATAAGATTTGTCCAGGGTCATAACACAGCAGGAGTCTGAGTCTGGATTTGGACTCAAAGGTAGTTAGGGAGAGAAGTCACTAAGAGTTGGGAGGACCAAGAAAGGAGTTTGTGTAGGAGGCAATGCTAGGGCTGAAAAAGCATTCTCCAAGGCAGAGATGAGGAGGGAGTGAATTTCAGGCATGGAAACAGCCAGTGCAAAGACATTCTAATTCTGTAAACTCAGTGAGGGCAAGGGCCAGATCCAAACTTTGTCTGCCTACCATCCTAACATCATTTTTTGCACATAGTAGGAGTTTAATAAATGTTTCTCTGCAGTGTAAAGAGCAATAAGGTCCATCTAAAGCTAAAAGGGGCTTCAGAGGTCATCTAATTCCACCCCATTATCTTACAGTTGGAGAAACTGAGAGACCCAGAAGCTAAGTGTCTTTCCCAAGGTCAACGGAAGAAAGGCTTTGTGTGGTCTTCAGGACATAGCCAGCAGCAATTGGTGGTAGTTAAAAATAAGTAGCCTTAGACGTGTTGGTAAGGATCAAATGTCTTAGCACGCCTGCTGTCACCATAATTGGAATTTTGTCCCTCTTCATCTCTGCCTTGGAGAATTCTTTTGCAGCTTAACAGTTCAACCTGGTCAAAAAGGAAATGGGCTGCTTCAGGATGCAGTAAATTCTGGCTGCACAGTAATGGGGTCCCTCTCAGTGGAGGATTTCAAGCAATGGCCAGACCACCATTTGCATCTAGTATGCTCTAGAGAAGATTCCTGTTCAGATATGGGTTGCCCTGGTTCAGGAGTTATGAACCTGGGCTCCATGGGTACTCTAGGGGTCTATGAATAGATTTCAGGGAGTTAGTGAACATAAGAGGAAAAGTACATCTTTATTTTTATTAATCTCTAAATGAAATTTATCATTTCCTTCAGCTATGAAATTTAAAAAATAAACACATTATTCTGAGAAGGGTTCCCAGGCTTCACTGGGCTGCCAAAGGAGTCTGTCACTCAGAAAGCTTAAGAACCCTTGGACTAGATGGTGTCTGAGGTCCCTTCTAGATTTAAGATTCTATGGAATCATGTTCACCTCTCTCTGTGACTCTATTTCCACATCTGTAAAATGAGGGCATTGGACTAGACGACCTCTAGTTTCTTTCCAGCTCTTAATGCCCTAAACCTCTAATCCTAATATGGCACAGCTGAGTTACTGCAGCCCCATCATTCATAATGCCAGGCATGGCATTATAAATGATTATAATCTAATCCTCCTCATAAATCCTACTTTGACACCTCATTGTGACCCTGGGTTCTTGAAAGAGTTGCCAACAGAGGACAAGCCCTGGCAGGTTTTACCAGCTGGAAAGACTTCAAGTATGGCCCTGAGAACAGATTAAGTCTGTTCTCCATGTACGGCTTAACTAATCACAGAGAGACACATCACCAGGAGGTAAGGTGCCTGGTGATGAAACATTTTTTAGCCATAGCAACCCACAAAACAGAAATTTTTAAAAAATGAACTCTCAGTTTTGTGTGGCCCCATTCTGATTCTACAGTGATGATGGGCAGAGAGTTAGGAATTACATAGTTATTAGATTGTCAACAAATTTTTATTTTATGTTGATACTCTAAATATGAGATCCTGGTCCAATGAACAGTAAGTAGACATATTGGTAAAGGAGCTGAACCATATCAGTCTTAACCTTCTTGTAAAAATCAGATGAAACCAGAAGGGAAGTGAAACTAGTGAATCCCAAAGCTACAAAAAATACTATTTCATGGTAAACATGGTTGCATATTGTAGTGCTGAGGCTAGATATTTGCAAAAAGATTACCATGAAAATAATTTTAGTTTATAGATCAATTATTGAGAATGAAATGGTAGAGAAATTCCATGAAGAACTGGATAAAACCCTCCACATCATATCAACATATACTCTGATATTTGGTAACTTTGTAAAGGTGGGAAAAGGGGAGGATGGGAAGAAATACATGTGGAAGATGGTTCTGAAGAAGGAAATGAGGCTAAAGGCTGATAGATTATAATAGATTCTCAAGTCCTTATGAATATTTCTTCCCCCCCCCAAAAAAAAAGAGCATTGGAATGCACTGGAAATGGTGAAGGCTAAGTAGCATCACAAAGAATGAAACTGACTACATTTTAACAGTATAGCTACAGTAGTCTTAATATCATAGTAACCAAGTCATTTGTCTCTGTAGTAAGATCACTGACTCAACAGAATTAAGATCAGATTTCATAAAAAAAAACCCCAAGAAAACAGAATAGCAATGAGAAAAAGATATGGCAAAAATTAAGAAGATCTAGCCCTGAATTATTTAAAGAAGGTGTTGTGCATCAAAATGGGAGACAACAGAAATGATATTGATGCTGATTATAAACATTTCACCCAGAAGTTAAACCAATGTAAATTAATTGCAACAAGAACCAAAGAACCTAGAAGGCACCTTAGTCAGCAAACATTTAACTTACTTGAAAAGTGGTTCAAGTCCTACTTTTGACACATACCAGGTCTTAATCTCTCAGTGTCCTAGGTGAACTAAAACAAGAAGTTGAAGTTTCCTCTAAAGGTGAAATTACATCTCTATGCTCCCTTCTCCTCCCCCCACCCCCACAAGAAATTAGTCTTGGAATTGCCTGTGTCTCATAGAGCTTAAATGCTTGACCCATGGTCGCACTAATAGAAGGGCAAGATGTAGGATTCAAATCCAGGTCCTTTGACTCCAATCTAACATTCTTTTAATTAACACCCATTGATTCAATGTGTTGTGGTAGAAATAACAATGAAAGATGTCTATACTGGGTTAAGACTATACTAGTCTTCCCCTTGTGCCTTGTAGAGAATAGTGGGGTTTTTACTACTCTTATCCAATTATCAAATATAATTTTTATTTTTATATCTGTATGTTCATATTTGCATGTTGTGTGTCTATTTGTGAGATCTTGTTGGGCAGTGGTGCAGTGAATCTAATGCTGAGCCTAGAGTCAGGATCCAGCCTCAAACACTCACTAGCAGTGTAACCCTGGGCAGGTCGCTTCACCTCCGTTTGCCTCAGTTTCCTCAATTGTAAAATGAGGATAATAACAGCACCTACCTCCCAGAGTGGTTGTGGGACTTAGCACACTTAGCAAAGTGCCTGGCGTACAGTAGATGTTAATTATGTAATGCTTGCTAGTTACCATTATTATTATTATTATTATCTTCACCATCATTACCACCCCCATCACCACCCCCCCCCATCACCACCACAGTCATGACCATCATCTCCCTGTAAAGCTATAAACCCTATGAGGGAAGATGATGCTTAGCACAGTGCCTAGTCCATAGTACGTACTTAGTGAATACTTGTTGGCTGATTATATAATCTGTGTATTCTACAGAAAGGCAGTGAGGTAGTGCCATAGTGTATAAAGCACCAGCCTGGAGTCAGGAAAATTCATCTTCCTGAGTTCAAATCTGGTCTCAAATACTCACTTATTAGCTGTGTGACCCTGGGCGAGTCACTTAACCCTGTTTGCCTCAATTTCCTCATTTGTAAAATGAGCCAGAGAAGGAAAGGGCAAACCACTTTAGGATTTTTGTCAAGAAAACCCAAAAAAAGGGGCAGCTAGGTGGCACAGCGGATAGAGCACCAGCCCTGGAGTCAGGAAGACCTGAGTTCAAATCTGGCCTCAGACACTTGACACTAGCTGTGTGACCCTGGGCAAGTCACTTAACCC